TTTTCAGCGGGGGGGGCAGGGTGCAATGGTGGTGTGCGGATATGGATGTGTTTGTAAATGCACAGTTCAGTGGTTTAAAATGAAGGCACCACAAACAGAACACAATGTCATAGAATTAGTTTGCTGCTATCTTCTGTAATTTAATGTTTAAAACAGACCAAATTAAAACAAGAACAAAAACCAAATGTGAATAATAATGAAAAGAAGTGACCAAATGGAGGATTTCATGACGATATGTTTGTTTGCACAAGCAAAAAGTATTGCTTCAAGCTGAATCATTTTGACAAGTAAGGCATGTTCAATGTATGCAGAACCATAAAGAGGCAATGATTTTGAACAAGAAGCTTATTTCTATACAGAAATCTATATAAAATGTATTCGTACTTCGTTAAGACACAGAAGTAGAATTGTGTGCAAATAATATTGGATACATTCATAAAGATTCATTAAGATTGTAGAGACAGTTAAAATCCTTTTGAAAATGTTGCTCGCATAATTTACTTTAAAGGGCATGCTATTTAGAGGAAGCAGCCACCCTTTTCTAGCTCTCCAAGTCAGCAAAAGAACTTCCTCATGTAAAGTCCAGCTTTGCTTGCTATATACAACAGATTACTTAAGAGTCCACTGTGAAGGGCTTTGCTCAGAGCATTGCTCCCTGAAAACACTTAAGGCACATCCAGAGGAGGATTTTTAACTTTTCATATTGCATACCTATATCATATCCACTATATATATTTTTGTGATTTTAAAGCAAGAGACCTAGTACCTCTAATTTGTATTGCATTTTTCAGTTTTGCATACTATGGCTTATATTCAGCTTCTTAAATCTTTCACAGGTCAAGTAACTACTGCAAAGATCTCATGACTTGCCTTTTATTGCTGTACATTTTGAAGTATGAGTCTCCCTAGCAGGTCTTTCCTTTATGAACTCCTTGTTGCTGATAGGGACAGAAACGTATTGCTTTGAGAACACAAGCCTGAAATGGGAAACATCTTACAAGAAAACATCACTGGCTAAAGTCACCCCAAAGAGCATATCATAAAGCTGATAGGGGTAAAGACTGTTCCAAGTCCATCTGTCAAGAAAGAGCTGAAAGTTCAGAAATATGTTCTTACAGACCTTTAGAACAAACAGAAGAACAGCATTTGCATTAAAAGCACATTAAAACCATATATAGTACTGTAAATAATATTCAAAAAAATCCAAGACACAGCAGTTACAGATTATCAAAGGGAGAGACAGTTGAAAAGCAAAGTTGGGTGGGTTTTTTTTTCCTCTTGGCAATAGCAGCAATTTTGGCACAAAGGCAAATGCAGAAGATAGAGAAAAACAGGCAGACAGGGTACAGAGAAAGGTCACAGAATCTACGACAAGCATGCCACAGTTCAGCAGGACCAAAAGCACAGTAACAGCTTTTCCCAACTTCCCTTCCCCAGAGAGAATGGCACCCATCACTCAAAAGCTTGTTGCCACTTCCCAAACTGAAAGCTTGATCTACATTGCAAGGGCCAGTTTGACCATAACCTCCCTGGGAACATCCCTTGTAACCACCACAGAAGATGCCATGCAGGCTCTCTGGCAAACCAGGCAAAACCTTCACAAGAAGGGTAATTCTAGTTGACTGCTAAATCAAACTCAACTTCCTTATCACAGATTGTGCCCTGCAACTATCGTCGTTACAATACAAGGGACAGACAAAACACATTAAATGCCGCCTAAGACTGCGGCCACCCAGTGAGGGACTGACATCTTTAGCAAAGTTAATACATGCCAATCAGGTTAGTAACACAAGACAAGAAAGAGCTTGTTGTGACCAATCCTACCTCAGCTGACCAAACCTGATAAATGTTACTTTGTGGTTGAATGTATTTTAAGCATTAAGATGGCTAAAAAAGAAGAGGCCAGACTTGGTGGTATAGCAAAGGAGGCAGTGAGTGTAGGGGGAGAACCCATGCAATTTACATCCATTTGGGATTCCATGGCAACTAAAAAGCAGGCCTTGCATGAGTCACCATAAAACTCAATGAACAAGCACTTTTGCTAACTCAGGGCTGAATTTAACTCAGAGGTATAAAATTTTAAAACAGCTAGCATTTTTTTCTTGTATATTCTTTAATTCATGTTTCTGCTGTACACCTTCCTTTTGCCTTCTAAGCTATCTTTACATCTCCATCAAATATCAAACCTGTGCATGTTAAACTTTGGGGTTTTTTTTTTACTTAATCATCTTAGAGGCAACTTACACTCCACATCAAGATCTACCTTGCTACTGAGGATTGGCTCAGACCTCAGGGACTGAAATTGCTACTGCCAAATTTCATTTGGTGGCACTTGCCTTAAGGGAGGTCAAACATTTTCAGGTGTATGACCTGTATTAGATGAGTCTACCACATGGGTGAAGTGGAGCCTTGGAAACAGAGCTCTGCCTCTCTCTTCATTTCAGACAGGTTTTTGCTCAAGGTATTTCCCTACTCTACAGTGAAAGCAGAATGTCTATAGCCTCTTAAACAGACAATTTAATAAATTGCAAGACAGCATATACTCAGATAGTTCGAAGTCAGCAGTTATACTGAGATGTAATCTTATAGACTCCTTTTGATTATTCAAGAATAATATCCTATTCTTCCACTGTATTAGCACGCTTGGTAATTCAAAAGGGGTTGGTTTCTTTTGTTTTTAAAAACCATATATAACTGTAAACACATTGTGGGTTTGCTGACCTACCTACCCAGCAAGAACAGGAGCTAAAGGTAGGTACCTACAGAACATGACTTTACACTAATACACAACTGACCTGCCTTTGATGACACTGTGGCTTGCTTTTAAAGTACATTGCATTTAGCCTCCTCCCACTTCTTAACCACTGTTAAGCCAGTAGTTTTAAGATATACTTAGAACTTACTTCACAAAGAAAACAAAATCTCAGCCACTAATGGCATTTTTCTAGCAGAAAGGGGGGGAATGGCAGAGGCACTGCTCACTCTTCTACCATTAAATGTAATTCTGTCGTGCACACACCAGAATGCACCACAATACACTGCCTTAAAGATGACCTAGCTTGACCCAGCTAAGCTGAGTATATCCTAATGTACCTAGGGCTCTGCAAGAGGGAAAGCTTTAAAAGGTCCAAAAGCTTTTAAAATTATGCTACAGTTATAACTGCTTTAGAAAAGCAGAAAGCAAACAGAAGGAGACCTAGATTTCAAGTTTTGCCATTTGATAAAATGGTGTCTGTTCCATTTTACTCCTCTGGAAGTACTACAGTTCTGCAACAGGATTGCGCCACCGCTGCGCAAGGAGAGATGGAAACACCTGATTATAGCTGTTTTATAGAAGTGTATAGCAAGCCATGGCTTATTGTTTGCTCTACTTAGTGATCACTTAGATGCTATTTACTGAATGCCCATTTCTAAAAGTAATTAAATTTGATCAGTTGGAAGGACAAAATCAGAGGAAGGAGACTTTCTGCCAGCAATTGCTTTGGTAAACTGATTGATATACATAGCTAAACTCTCCTTCCACTTTCATCACCAATAGGTTCACTCCATAAACCACCTTATTCTCACATCACATGCCCTGTGCTCCAAGAAATATTTTTTCCATTCACCTTAAAGAATGTCCTCCAGCTACAAAAAAAAAATGTCTTCACTTTTAGGGAAAGCAATTTTAAGTCTATCCAGCTGTACAAAAAATGCTGTATTTAACCCATCTGTCCACAGCATTTGTCATTCTTCCATACCTTTTCCCTTTCCTCCATCTTGCCATATGGAAATTCCACACAAATAAAAGAGGAAACAGTAAATGTAACTACACTGCAAGAATCAACTATGCACGCTATGAACAAATTTCTGTTGGATTGCATTCAGTTACAATCTTAGAAACACTTGTAAGAGCAATACCAAAATCAAACAGAAGTATGATTTTTATTTGCCTGCATGTTGTTAAGGTCTTTTCTCAACTGGCACTGAGAAAACATTCTTTTCTCAAAGTGTTGCTCTATGTTCTCTCTCTAAAAGCAGCTGACTTAGTTTATCCATAGTGTTCTGGAACAAATACTAAAAATCAAATCTCTTCCTTTTCCTGACATCACTAAATGAGCACTTAGGGGCTGGGCAAATGAGCATTTGTAGCACAGACGCTTCTCCCATGTTAGAAGGAATTAGAATTTCAAGTTAAAAGGCAAAACTACTTCACAGTAAGACACACACATTCACCACCCCATTCCCAAAGCCATGGCCAGGAGCAGCGCAGATTCTGGCAGTGAAGGAAGAGCACCATGACCTGCCAGCACCACAAAATTCAAGGGGTTTAAGGAATCTGATCCCATTAGCTGTCAGACACCCAGAATTCCAAAGGAGACACAATCCAGAGATAATGGGATCTTTCCCATTCAAGTACCAGATTAATGAAGAGAAGCTTGGGAGAACAAGAAACCACACCCAGAATTCAGGCAAACACAGAAATCCAGTTTGTGAGCTATTCCAGTGCATCAGAAGAACTTTTAACTTCACTAACACCGAGCTGCATACATTACGGGGCCCTTTGTCTGGGCCCACTCACAGGAGACCCTCAACGGAACCTCTGTGTTTTCCTGGAATTCTTTCAGATGATGTCCTTGAAAGGACTGAGAACATCTAGGCCCCAAAGCCACAGTGCAAAATAATATATTGAGACTTTCACATAACAAACAAAATTCACATGGCACCCCAAAAATCACGCGAGTGATACAGCTCAAAGTTGGGTCACATTAACTCTTACTGGTCAGCAGGCTGCCCACAGAATTCCCCTAGGATCTGCATGAGAACTTCTGACTGGACATAGAGAAAGGGAACCCCAAAAGCCATCAGCTGACACATGAAAAAGGAGTCCAAAGGGTTCTGGGCTACCTGGTGCCCAATCGCGGAAACTGTGCTTTGCAGGCGCTGGCTTGCCACCCTAACTCTGTCAAAGAGGCTGAGAGAGTACTGCACCACCCTGCTAAAGAAGGAAGCGGAGCTACCTGGGGCCCTCTCTGCTGAGGCGGGGATGGTGTTTGCCCGTCCACTTCCATCATTTGCCATGGCGTCCTGCAGAGGTCCTTTGGTGTCCTGTAAGAACATGGGGAAATTAAATTCCTATTAAAATTGAAAACGCCTCAGAAATACTCTTCTTTTTTTTAATGAGGCTATATGTACTGAACACACAGAACTAGGAAGACACCCCTCTTGCTGTTAAAGATACCCCTTAATCATCACATAAGGCAAGGTCTGAACCAAGTATGCTCCTTCTCAATTTATGGCTTTGTTAAAGCTCTGAAAAACAAGCTGGATATCCAAGAAAGTCAAAGCAGTAAGATCCCTGAAGTCTGCTCATCTGGGAAATTTTTAGTCTTTATTTTTGGCAGGAAATATGGCACAAATACTGGGATGGACCCCTTATCCTTCCAAAAAGGAGTACAGCTTCAGCTTGTACTAATAAAACTTGAGAAACAGGGAGAAAGACAAACACTACCACAAAGTAAAAATATAATTTAAGGGGGAAGGACAGTTTGTAGCAGGCAAGCTTAACAGAACTTGTTAAGAGACTAGCATGTAGTTTGCTCAGAATATGCAAAAATACTGAGAAGGGGCTTGTGGAGACAAATTAAGTGCCTTGGATTGTAATGACAAAAGCTGGGAAACTTTTCTGTATTACACAGTGCATCTTGATCCTATATTTAAAGCACAAATGCTTCCATTATGATAGTATAAGAAAAGGGATATCCTTTTTTTTCACACAGGTTCCCATTAACACACAGAAAACCTTCAGAAATGAAGGTAGGTCTTCTTCATAGCCTATGCAAGTGGGGTAGAACTTCATGTTTCAAAGGAAATGCAAATAATTTGTTTCATCTTCAGAAACACCACGGAAAAACACAGCAAAACCAAAACTGGTAACATTATTCATTTAGTCTCTGTGTGGACTGAATAAGTATGCCAGCTGACAAGAAAACAAATCAAAATCCTGTTCTAAATGGGACAGTACATTATTTTATAACACGAACCATTAAAAGAGAAGCGGTAATTAAAGGAACTGCTTTTAAATAAAATTTATAGAAGTGCAAGCTTTCATGACATAAAAAAGAAACTATGCACTCTGATTTTTTCCTACTTTCTGAAAAAAACCCAGCATATTTACTTTTTCAATGTTAAGAATCAAAATCTATTAACATGATATGTTAGATAAAAATAACGAGTTACCTTTCCTGACAGAGGACCCACTGCTGGCCTCTTCCTTTGAGCATAACCAGAGAGTCGGTAACAGTAGTGAGGTTTACAGTAGAATTTACCTGCAGATAAAACACGAATGATGGTCAACAATGAGAACACAGCAGTTTAGCCCAATATAAATGTCCATCTCACTGCAACTTATTTCCTGCTGCCATTCCCAATGCTCCCTCTAATTATTTCACTATACATGGAGGCAAACACTATCTGAAGTTTTAACTCCAGCCCTCCTCTCTCCCCCTCCTAGCTAGCCTCCTTTCCATTGGGTGCCTGACAGCCATTTAGCTTAAAATCCTATCAAACACCAAAGCAAAGCTGTGAGGCTTGTGTTGTATCACATGCTAACAAAGCAGCAGTGTGTGAGGAACAAAGAAATCATCACATGAAAAGCTGGCAGAAGCACTTTTGGAAAAAGCAAGAATGAATACAACCAGCAGAGGGAAGTGGGAGAGGACAGTGTTAACTCCCAAAGAACCATCTCTAAAAATGCACAGTGGCTACTTGTGGAAAGGACAATCGACCAATGATTCATTTTCACAATTGAGACTTTTTGTGATACTGCTGATTTACTAACACCCCAGAAGTCTAGATGGGTTTTCACCAGTATCAACACTGTCAGGAAGTCAAAGCTGCACTAGTAATACCGTAATACAAACAATAATAATAGCAGCAAATTGATGGCACATGATTATTTTCCAGTGTACTTTTGTCAGTGTATCCTGCTTGGTATATGCAGCTCATAGCATCCCATACTGCTATCCTATTCCTACAGCTTTCCAAACATATTTCAAACATATATTGTGACCTTTGCCCCTTCCTCTAGTTTCTCTGGGCTGGTATTTGCACAATGTTTTGTTATGATGGAAAAGTGACAAACGCTATCTTTCGAGAAGTCTCTGCTTAAATAAACATTTCTTAATATTTACTCTTTCAAATTGTCTGAAAAGAACAACAGAAAAGCTTTTACATAAAAATTCTCAGACTTTGAAGCCTAAAACCAGATACTGACTGCAGAATGCTGCAGAATGCTCATCAATCCAAACAGCTAGAGCAACAATGCATGTATAGCTTTGTTATTTTTTCTCTCAAAGAAAACCCAGAATGAAATATAAGCTAAAATTTCACAATGATTAGATAGGATACCTCACACTTCTGTTAGGCCATATCTATTTCTTATACATACACAAACATTAGGCATGTAATATCATTTCAGAATCAATGCTGTAAGTGTGCTGAAACTCCGAGCTTTGTGTTTGCTTCATTGAGAACTATCTGGCCATAACTGCATACATAAGCTTGCTGGCAGAGGGTATCACCAAACCTGGTGGCAAAAACTTTCAGCCCATACAGCTGACAAAGGAGCTCAGTCTGTTATTGCTAAACATGTAGTCAGACATTTGGTTACTTGTGAATGCCCAAAATAACAGCAGTACTCAAAAAATGCTTTTTCCCAGCTTTGATTACTGGTTAAGATGTTACTTTTATATATTCACTTCAAAATTATCATTGGCTCCTTTAAACTCACACGCCAAGTCTGCTGACCTTCTGGTCAAGTAATAATGGGTTTTCTATTCCTTACTGGGAGACTGGTTTGATGATTCTTAAGTTTCCTCAACTGTTCGTGACTGAGCAAGTCCATTACTTAAAGTCACTATATAATGCATTATCAATACATAATTTTGGTTCTTCTTGCCCCTTAAGCCTAGATGGTGTTTCCATGGCCATTATTTTATCCAGTACACACAAAAAGATTCTTCCTACCTACACACATGAGATACCTATCAAAGTTATTTTTCTGTCAGCATGACCTGGCCACAGGAAATCCATACAGTATCAACAGTTTTGAGAGATGGTGTCTTTGGAACAAGTTACTCTCTTACCTACTTCACCAAATAATTTTTAGGCAAAGAAAGAGCTGAAATAGCTAGACGACCTCCCAGAACAGTTACGGGAGTTCTGACAAAAAGGCAATTTGTCTTACCATCTTCAATATCATAGGCGTAAGATGACAAGCGCAGAGTCGTTGCACAGTATTCACACTTGAAGCAACTGCGGTGGAAGAACTTGCCTTCAGCACTCAGCCTTTCCATCACATAGACTCGCTTGCGGCAGAAGTAACACACATCACTGCCTCCCAGGTTTTGGGGGAACTCCTTTTTGAGCGAGCCCTAGACAGAAATAGGCATGGCTAAATTTGTGGTGCCCAGCCTCAACAAGATTGCACATTCCTATTTTCTCGTCATTTATGCAGATACAGGAGCATCTGGATGCTGCAGTCCTTTCACACACGGATGCTGCAGTTCTTGGACACAATTCACAGTTTTAACCAGGACATCAAAAACTAACCTTACTGTCCAGGGAAGAAGGTCATAGGATGCCATGCCTACATGTCAGGAGTAAAATAAGCTCTGGATGGAAGAGTGGACACCACTACTACTACTAATGACCTTGAAATAAATGACTGAAGGAGGCATATGATGGAAAGCCAAAATCATTAGAAATCCCTCAAACAGCAATTCTTAGACCTACATTATCAAAATCTCCTCCAGAAAACAATAATGCAGAAGTAGCCCCAGTGGATCAAACACATCGTCATGAATATGACAAGCAGTTTCTCAATTGTTTATGCACAATCCTTGGATGCTGAGATTAGATCAAAAAAATTTGCAAGGAAAATAAGGACAAGAGTGAAGGTGGATGGAAAAAGGGAAATTAAGTCTTTCACAAAACTACGACAGATTTCATCAGTGGTAGTAACAACTGGACACTCACAATACTTCAGAACTACAGTACATCTAATCACAAACACGATCATCTTCTGTACATCATCTTACCAGTTCCTTCTTGTCTAGAAGGGTTTTGGGTTGCTCTTTCCTTTGAAGCTGATTGGCTATCTGCTCAGCCAATGAGCTCACTCCGCCTGTGTACATCTTTATGTACTTCTACCAGATGGATGGAATAAAACAATAGTGAAGTGAGAAAAGAAAAAAAATCAAATTAAAAAATGACTAAAAGGATAATAGCGTAGGTGGTGACAAGGTGCAGAGAGGTCAAATCATGCCAAGACAGTGGACAATATGAAGTGACAAGTAGTAATAGCAAAGCTAGTGTCATCAGAAATCACCAGTACAGTCCAGAATCAACTGTAAGAACGGAAAAGAAGGCTTGCATTTTGCATTCTCTAAATGGTCTAGAAATAGTATGATGATGAGGATGAAGAAAGATCTTATTTTCACTTGCACCTGGAAACCTGGGCATAGAAACTTCTCAAAGACGAGGCCAAATATAGGTTAAGTTTTTCGGTTCCAGGTAAAACTGCCATCAGAAACAAAGATCTTTTAGAAGACATGTTACATAGTTTAATGCAACATGCTGATCACAACAGCATATTTATAAGCTTAGCAGCTGGAAAGAATTAATTTACAGAGCATTCATAGAGCAGGAAGAAATCCTTAACTAAGGAATTCACACTGATTCAAAAATATGAATTCTTCCAATGCTAAAAATACATAAAGATTTATATGGAAAAAGACACAAGAGCCTCATCCAATGCATTAAAGCCATACCTGCATACATCTGGAACATACATTTGTTCAACTGTGAACACTGCTTTATGACTAGGCTTTTCTCCCATCATGGGCATTGACTCACTCCATAACCTTGGATATCTAAAAACCCTCCAGTATTCCGAGAAATCTAGGCAGGTTGGCTGTTACTTTAGATGGTACAAAATGAGCATTTGCAAGCCAAGTTTGGACACTGCAAGAGCAGAGGAAGCGTTTTTCACAGGAAATACTTACAACCGTTGGCAATAATTACATGGTTAAGAAAATGATGTGGTTACATCCATGTTAGCTCAATCACACTGCAAATGTCATGTCATATTTGACTCAGAGCAGCAAGGAGCACACCAAGCAATTTTTCTTTTCCAGACTAAGCAGCATTATAAATGTTTCTAGCGAAATTCTCTTCAGCAAATGAAGAATCATCAGAGAGACAATCCAGCTTCTGGTTAAGTGTAAAATACCAAGGGTAACAGTTTTCTGAAGGAAAGGACTAAAGTTGTATCTCAAAACCTCCTTCATTCATATAGCAGAACTTGTTTGAAGCACATTAGTTATTTCCCACAACTAATAATGCAGCATAAATTTCATATATGAGGTTATTAGCCTTTTAGGAATGTTTAAGACCTTCACATGTTCAGACATGAGAACAGCAGGAAGCATCACAAAAACTGAAATTCACCACAGAATGGGTACTTCTTTGGGGAAAAATATTTTGAAAATGGAGTGCTCAGCCATCAGAGATTATTGCTGCTATCACTGAAGTCCTGATTGCTTATGCTCTGTGCCACTGCAGTAATGAGGGTTTATTTCTACCCAGAAAGAACTTCTACCTGTCTACTGATTCCACCCCAAAATGCAGAGCATACGCAGTATTTATATAGGCAAGAAAAAACATCATTTGTCTTTCAGAATTTTCCAAGTTCCATATTCTTCCTCAGCTAGTGTGTGCATACACATGTGCAGAGTTGCCTTTCAATGTCATGTATCATATCTTGTCAAATATTACATTTAAAATAGTGCATTACATTTAAAATAGTGCCCAATGGAAAAATTTTCTTCAGTATTGGTCTTTAACTGACAACCATAATCATTTGGCCAAGAGTTTTCCATTTTCCTCTAAAAGACCAGAAACCTTTGAGGCTTTTTAAATTTTCTTAAAAGATAGTTCAAGTTTTTTCCATGGGAAAAAAACTTTTTTAGCTGAACCAGGTTTCCAGTGAAGAAGTTGTGATTTGAAACCTTCATCCAACCTTAACTGCAGATGCTTCAAGATCTTTACATTTCTACCAGCACGTATGAAGTTCCATGCTTAAAAAGTGATGATGCTAATCTTAACTCACAATACCTTGAACTATTTAGTGTGGAAAATTTAGTTGCTGAATTTTTTATTTGGGGTTCTGTGTTTCTGATTTGCTTTGCTTTTGTCTTACACATCCCATATGGCCTAATATTGGGTCTTAAATGAAGCATTTTATCTTTTCTCCCATAGGCAAAAGCCTTCAAGATATACATCATCCTGCAACATTTTCAAGAGAAGGCAAAGAACCCACTCCAGCTTAGGTCAAATCAAGTTCCTGCTGTTTATGTATGTCAACAGCAACTAGTTCAAATTCTCAGTGACCTTTTCAGAAAGCCAAAGTACTTTCTATTTCACGCTGTTCATTAAGTATATACGCACAAACACATTCTGTAGGTTGGCTCAAGACGTCAACGAAAGCAGCAAGCAAAACTGCAAAGCCCAAAGGACTATCAGTGCTCAAAAAAAACTGATTTTGAGAGCGAGATGTACCACAGGCTTTTCATTTACACCAAATGTTAAATATATCTAGTTTCAAACTGCTTTATGGCTGACGATAACCAAGCTATGCCACAGGTTGCCTTCTGGCTTCTCATTTGTGCATGAATATGCACAGACATTGCATTCCGCAGGTGAAGCATTGCAAGCCTAGCCGTCTCTTGTGGTGTGTCCTTCGCTGGTGGGACTGTGGTGCAGCAAGCGAACACAGCTGAGTGCACCTTGCAGTGCTCAGGCTAATGCTACCTGTCGAAGAGAGTCAGATGAAGGTGAAGAAGGGCGATTAGAAGAACGGAGGCTAAGGGAGAGCTCCCACTGGTCAACAAAGAATCGTCGAGACGGTTCAGTCTCTAGCTAAAAAATAAAATAAAAATCAAAATAATCATACATGGCTATAGAGGGAAGAGAGGAGAAAATAAAAAAACTGAGGCCTTTCTACCCACCATCAAAAAAAATTTCTTAAAGACTCTTGTAGGAAAACTTGGAGAAAAATGTCCAGTGTATCTTCACTTTCTCCCTAGTGAGGCAGGGTAGGTTATTCTTATTTGCTCTTTATTACGTTTTAAGTTATTTAGGACCATTTGGAAGCAGTTACCTACTTCCACAGATGTCCAACCTCCTGTAACCCAACCAAGCCACTGGCAAATATCCCAAATCAATTTCCTCTGCTACTCTTGTATCTCCCATTGCTCTGTATTACTGGCCCAAGGCACTAAGATCATATTTCAGGCCATGTGAGATCTCTTCTATATTTTAACTATATAAACCAAAAGCCTGCTCTCCTTGGGGATGGAAGAGAAAGAAATTAACTTGTATGCATTGCCAGTAATTAGCAGCAAATTACCAACCTAAAATTTACCATAAGCAGATTGGAAATATCCACTAAAAAGAATGAAACAATATAAAACAATCTGCTGTTCTTGCTTATTAAATGGCAAGCAGTAAATCCCAAACTGAGAATCTGCATCCTTCTGAAGCTGGTTCCTCACAGGAGAACCCAAAATTTGGTCTTCCAACATACCCCTCTCATTATCTCTATGGCTTAAAAAGGAAAAAAACAGTAGCTGGAAGTATCAGACAAATAGCACTAGTAGAAGCTATACATTCCTAGAAATTATAGCCTCGAAAAAAATTATGCAAATTTCAAATATTTCACTCTTTTACAAGAAAATTATGGTTTTAGTTATAAAAAGGAAAAATAAATGTCACGTAGCTGCATGACCCACAAAAATAGCTATTTCTAGCCATGTAGAATAGGCTAGTCTCAAGATTAAATCTACTGGACAAAATGCAAAATAGCTTGGCTTTCACAATTTCCCCAATTTAAAGAAATATAACTGTTTATATACAAATTTTCTGCCCTTAAGATCATCAACATTTAATCAAATTTCTTTTCTGAAAATGTCTTACTTTTCTAAGCCTTCTTTCTCTTACTAGTCTATTTTTCTTGTTTTCTTCCCTTAAATCTCACATCATAATCCATCATTGCCTGCAGTGTTCCAACATCTGTTTCCTCTTTTTCCTCTCTGCCCTACTCACTTTATCCTTTCCTCTACTTTGTGTTCTCCATCTCCCCTCTATTTTCTCTCCTCCTTAATTCTGCACTATACAGACATTACACAGTTTCAAAACTAATTTCTATCTTTGCATTGTAATGCTGTTAATCTTTTCCACCCTCAAAAGGAGCTTAAAAGTGCTAGAGAGCAACAGAAAAATTAGAAGCAAGATGTTTTGGTCTAGATGTTAATTTCTGCATCATCATTTCAACTGAGTAAGGAAATGCACATGAGCATGCTAGTCTTGGATCATGCCTGAGATCTTCAGTTGCATTGCCCATTAACAAATAGGTGCTAATATGTTTAAACTAGTTGTCTTATTTAGTCTTTCATAGTTTCTTCTATGTCCCCAAATACTATCTCAAATTTAGCCAAAGTTTCATTCTTCCTTCCTGAAGGAGAGCTTCTCTGACTTTAACCATCAGCAAAGATGGCATCCCCAAAGAACAGGAATGAAAAGTGACCTAGATGTTATAAATTTCTTTTTGGCATGGCTTGGAAAAGTTATGCCCACCAGCAAAAGTTCTGGGACTGCTTATACTCCAGCTCAAGAAGACAGCTTGATTTTGGATGGTTAACTCAAAACAGTAAGTTATGAAAAAATTACTTATGTAGGTGGTGTTTTCCAAAAGCACTCTCCAGTTTGCCAAATGCTGTTGAAGATAACTGAAAACAGAAACAGGGGCAAGCAACTAGAAACTAAAGAAACCACTGTTCAAACTGGCATGCTCCCATATGCCAAAGACACACTGGAGAGAAAATTAAGCACAAAACCAAACCAAAAGTGTACGCTGGAATCAAAGAAAATCTGCACAAGCTGCCAACTCTACCATTGGAAATAAGTCTACAGGAAGCATGGACACAAAAGTAGTACTTCAGAGCCAGGAATTATGCCTGGAAAATGAGAATGTTCTTGCTTCCATAAGCAAGTAAAATTTGTGAGCAACTGACTGGTAAATGACCACTGTGAGATGATTTGATCTGAAGTCCAGCTGGTTTTCAGCATGCACTCTGAAACTTGGAGGCTGTTTTTTACCTTATTGTTTATATTTGTGTTTTGAGAAAAAGAAAGACTGTCATTCACCAGACAAGGAGACAGTTAAGAACTGGCAAGTAGGATAGAAATACTACACAAAATAGACTTGACCCTGGCTTTTTAACCACATGACTGCACAACAATAGTCATCATATTTTGGTAAATTTTTCTATCCCTCTGACCCCAGACGTCACCGGTACCCAGAATCCCACACTGATACAGGACACCATATAGGCAGGGCTGTAGTCACCTGATGCCTCATGGCAGGTCTGGACTCCGGGAGGGCAGCCAGCTGACATGCCCTTTGCTCAACATTCTCAGGCACTTGGTCATCAGAAAATAAACGAGGAGATCTCTGTGAGATGAGGAAGGAGGGAGGAAGTAAACAAACCAGCAAAAAAAGCCCCCAAAGGAACAGACACTGAAAAGCCAGACAAAAGGTATGAAATTCACATGCAGAACAGTAAGAGGAGCTCCCATGTGAATACTGTTTTTTATTCCCAATGTCTACTGCTCTAATGAAGTGCTAAGTTTTGAACCTCAAGGCCAAGAAAAAAAGACACCTGAATTAGTCATTATTCACAACTCTCCCACCGAGGACTGCTGCAGCCAAAACCAAACAAGCACATGGCCTCTGTCTCTGGCATTACCATCAAAAAAAAAAAAAAAAAAGGCTTTATCATGCACAAAGGAGCTTATTTGCCAACTTATTTCACCATAGTTCTTGATTCTCAGGGATTTCCTTTACATATCTAAACCCGTACATACTTGTGTTTCTCAGATTTTGTGTACAGAAACACATGTTTTTAGGGTAATGTACTTCAGTTCTCATAAAGAATGAGTTAGTTTCCTTAAACATGCTGGTATATGAAAAGTAATGCTGTACTTACCAAAGAGAGGATGTTTAATGAGCCTGGCTGGTTGAAGCAAAGCACAGCAAAATCAAACTATGACAGAAGCTTCTAATTTTACTTCTGCAACTTCACTGTCCTACTTATTCTTACTGTACTGTCATGTCAACACAGCCTAGGTATAATATTTGACACCTCTGCTATTCTGGTCTCTCATATCAATCTTCTTAAACTGTTATGTGGTGCACTTAGTGACATGGAAAAAAGACGTGGCTTGTGGCCTGCTGTACAAGACATGAGTATCACTTACAATATCACACAGCCTTCAGCTAATTTGTCTGTAGAGTTCAAAAGTAAGTGGACCAGGAACTACAAACATGTGCAAGAAGAAACCTCAGGCTTGATCTGTCAAGAATGCCAGGGTGCTGCTATGTACTGCTAACTGTCTTCCAAAGCAGAACAGAAAATTGGGTTCACACCCAATTTACAAGAAAACACTTTTCCCATTCAGATGCATTAATAATACTCTCTATTTTCAGCTGCTTTCAGTTCCACCTACTCCTTCCTACTAGATCATTTTCACTAAAACTAGGGCCTATTATAAAGCTGTGGGCTTCCATGTCAGTGCAGACACATGCTTATTCATTTTGTACTGCCTGTCAGAAAACATTTGGCCCACAAGAGTCTTTTGTTAGAACACATTCTGAAAGTTAGAACAGTTTTATAGCTGGCTACCACTTATGACTTAATTCATTCAAAGCCTTTACTGGAATGTCAATTAATTTGTCAATATGAGTTCAAATCAACCAATTCTTTTGAGTGCCTATCTTCTCTTTTCCCATGCTTCTGTATAATACTGAGCCATTCAGACAGACTGTTGAATATTTCATTGTTAAGAAGGCTTCAAAGTCTCTGTACTAAATAATGCCTCATCATTTTTCCTTTTACTTTGGCCTGTAGGAGGCAGGATGGAATGCCAGTTGTTTAACCATCCAGAAAGCAAGCAGTGAAAACAATGCAACCATGTTCACATGAATTAGCACGAAACATAACTCTTCTTGTTCTGCTACAGCCACAGCATACTTCACTAAATAGGTGTAAGAGAAAAAGAAGAATGGGAAGAGCTTAAGTGCTAGATCTATGGCAAAGTAAAAGCATATAGCAAACTGTTGATGAAGGCTTGTTATGCATTTATGTGGGTATCACACAGAAATAATCACTCCTAATCGACTCTCAGCAGTTCCAGCGTGTTAACAGCAGCATTACGATAAGTGTGTTTCACTACCCAGTATATTTGCTCTCTGTATTGCACACATCCACCACAGCCTTGTGTCATCAGTATCCATGCCATTTGTTCATGCTCTTTACCCTTTCCTGTCCGGGACTCTGCTCCCCGGGAGAGTCGGCACCAGGTTCCCTGTTTCTCTGCAGGCAACAAATTATGAGCTTAATAACAATCACAGACCAACCTCCTAGTCAAAACACACTTCATCTGATTTTTCTTACGATGCAGACAGAAGAGAGGCCATAATGATAGCAGAACAGTTTGTTTAGAATATTCTAAACCTGGCAATAATAACTCGGCTCCTGTAGGGAAATTTTTTAAAAATGCATATATTCACATTAGGTCAGTAAACCACAATATAGTACCAGAATATAATGAAATTAGTACAGTAAAGATGGTAAGACACTCAGTATAACTCATACTGTGATGTTAGATCAAAGGAAGGAAATGGAAAGTTTAGAAAGAAGTGGCAGAATGAATGTATTAAAAGCGCAGAGGTAGAGGTTTTAAAAGACATCAGTATAACAAGGACGCAGATCCATCTGATTCACTATGAGGCCTGGGCCAAGACCATTTCAGGAAAGGAATCATTCCTAAGGATAAAAGAATGTCTCCAAAAGCAGACCCCTCAACCGAGTCTAATAGATCAGTTCTGTAGCAGAGGGGGTGAAATTTCCTCAGAGTTAAAAGGAGGAAGCCAAATTTTTTCTATTATTATTTCTTTGAGCAAGACGACATGCAAAAAAAGTTTCCTACAGGACACAATGTAGAAAATGGTCCAAGTACACTTGGACCCAGCAGTAGTTGGCTCTCACGACTGAACTAGGCAACCAAGACGACACAGGACAAACACACACTTGGAGAAGCTAGGGAAGGAAAATATAAAGCTAAGAGGTCCTTAATTACTGAAAGCCAATTTCTCTATATGGAAAATTAATCCCACACCATAGATTAAAAAGTAAAACTCAGCATTTAACTGCCTTAATGTATCTGTCAAAATTTTCAGTGGATGTTGATAAAAGGAAGGCAGCTAGCTATCACATCATCTGATAATACTACTCTCAATTCAGTTTAAATGTGGGTTTTGTTAATGAAAAGGGCTTTCCCCCACCTATTCTACCTACACGTCCATTCCTGTATCGTTCCTTGAACCATATGCTGTCCACAGTGTGCCAGAAAACTAACCACTTCTTTTGTTAGGACAGTTTTAAATCAGATCAGTAAGCAGAGCTGACCTCTCTTGCATATATAGACACCAGAGAGGCAGCGGAGAATCTGTGCTCTGGAGGCTGACAATAATTAGACCAGATTAACTGTAACATGTAACTAACTACACTCTGAGAAATCACAGCAATAAGGCAAGTCAAACTTTATGTCCAAGAATAAGTATTGTCTACTCTGCTAAAAGGTAACATGCCTTTACAGAGTTTATAGGCATACAAGTGTTCAGAAAAGAAACATTTTGCACCTATGGGGAAATTTACTTGTACAATACTTATTTAAAGTTATGAGAGGTCTGTGGAACTGCAGCTGCCTTTTTATCATTTCAAGATTAGTTCAGGATTGATCACGGAGGAGTGGAATTTATTACTGCGGTAGGAAAATGAAACAAAAATTTTAAAAGAATACAACTCAAAGAAGCACAATGACCACGTACAAGACAACACAAATATTAAAGGATTTCAGGTAATATTTAACTAGAAGGACAACAAATACATGTGCATGAACACCTGGATGCACATTTATACACTGTGTTCAGAACAGCTCTCACTGCTCCAAATTCAACTCAGACAGACTGAACACAAATTCTTGTGTGACAAAGGCCTGGGTGTGGGTGAAACAGAAGGACCACAGTGGACATGTGCAGGCCACTACAACTCTCCAAAAAAGCACTTCATACAAGTAATCCTGAAAGAGTTTCATGGATACAAGGGCAAATTTTCAGTCACACCTGTTTAAACGAAGAGAGGAGATGGAGAAAAGTTGCATTTTCTTTTCCTGCATTACTCCAAACATTTCATTTCTACCTTGATGCAACTCAAAACTGAGAAAGGCTACTGTAATTACAAATTACCCTACAGTAATATCTCAGAGTCTCCAGTGGAGACTCTTCGTGCTTCTGGTGAGCTAATGCCAACCTATGTTTCTAACCTAAGAGGTGGAAGAAGCCCTATCACCATATGAAAAAAGAAAATTGGAAATGCATCCAGTAACTGATCTAGTCACTCGTACAAACAGTAATGAAGAGAGAGGGACAGAGCATGCAGAGGGAATCACCTGCTGTCTGGGATACGGTGGAGAGGAAGGTGGAGTGGAAGAAGAGAGCATGATCACTTTTTTGGGGCAGGTCCGAGAACGTTCCTTATTCCTCAGCTTTTTTTAAAACAGAAAAAGAAAAAAAAAAAACATAATAATGGTAGAAAAGAGATAACATTACCATTGGCTTTGGTAAGATAGGCCAGAACACATGAACCGAGAGGCTGTGATCTTAAGCTCCCACCTCTCATGAATGACCTAACGTCACATTTTACCTCAACCTGAAAGACCTAAGTTTTTCACCCATAGCCACACGATGTCCATTTGACAGATACTTCTAGGGGAAGCCAATGAGCATGTACTTACGTCAATCATCAATTAAACCAACAGTTTCTGGCTCAAGGTCTTACAATCAGTGAAAAGCACAACTTGGAACTCTCCATAGCACAGTTGGACTGCTCTATTTGCTTCATGAAAAATGACTTATTGCCATGCCTTGCAATGTTTAAAAATATCCATCCTGTTGATCTAATTACTCTTGCTTGCAGTTGATTTAGCAATACAACTCAAGTCAGAGCATTCTGTTCTCAACTTCAGATCCCTCCTCTTTAACTTACAGGTATTAAACCATCTCAGGCAAGTTAAACTGTACTACATCCTACTAGAACAGAAATACAGCTGTTTTATAGCCAAAATGTAGCCATATCTAATAGTCTGAATAGTACACAATGCACATAAATGTCCTCATTTTAATATGCCAGAAAACATGCCTTTCTAGTTCTGTACCTCCTTACTACGTACAGTCTTTTCTCCACCACTTATTCATTGTTAATGTATCTTCTGCCTGATTTTTCCTTTTGAATTCTCACCAGAGCATATCTGGAAATTGTTGCACGGTGGAAAAAAAAAAATGCTGTGTATCCAAAGCCACTGTTAGGTAGCCTCCAAAGAAACAGGATGCTGTTTATAGATATTACAGATGTTCATTACCACCCTTACAGCTGAGCTGGTGCTAACATCTGTTGGGGTGTTCTCTTCCCTTTCAGAAGAAAAAATAAAAAAAATAAAATCAACTCTTTCATTTCAAACAGATGCTACAATCAGCTTAAACTAAAGCACAGGACATCATACTGAAGTGGATGAGAAACATTTATGTGATGTTTCAAAAGGCTCAGCTATGAAGTCACTCATTTCTAGCTGAAAGGGTGATAACATTTTCAACCACTACGGCTGTTCACGGATTTTTGTGTGACCATGGCTGAATTTGCATTTCAAATTTCAAAATTTTCACAAACTTGTGTATTTTTCCATGGCAGATCTCAGAATATAACATTGTATAGGCATATGAAGTGTATGTTCAGTCCTCCAGTAAGATACATTTCTGAGCATGCAAAGACAAAGATGGCTATAGGAAAGAGGAAAGATATATCAACAGATTTAAATAAGAAATTAAGTAGGAAAAACAATATTTGCAGAAATCATTGGTGGTGTAAGTTCTCTTCTGTTGAGATTTCAGCTTCTGCTGACTGTGGTCATCTCAGTCATTGCATGTCCTCAAAAACCACAGTTCCAAGAGAATTATTGAAAAGAGTTTGTACTGCTGTACCTTTACCACAGTTCAGGGAACCATCTCAAAAGAACAAACATCAGGCCTCCAGAGGCAGATAAGATGTGCACCAAAAGACATGTGGTCTCCATCTTACAAGCATCTTTGTACACATCAGTGATTTAAGCTTACATATTACACACGTACCTTGTTGTTAAGAGACCTATGAAACTATAGCAGAAAACTGCTGAAGGACATACGCTTAGTCTGGAAAGTCAGGACAACATTCATACCATACCCAAACAGTCAGATTCTCTTCTGGACAGACCATATGGCTTTCCAATGGCTTCATGGTCCCTGATGAGATGCTCTTTCCCAAAAGCAGCCAAAATGGCTTAAAAAGCCATAGAACACACCATCGAAGATGTTTTTATACAAGTGGGCACTCATTTGAGGAGATTAACCACCACACCATGAAACACAATCCAGCTTTTTTAGGAGATATTACCATCACATAAAAAATTACACATATTTCCACTGTGCACATACACTTAAGAGTATCTTCATGCATTACCAGCTGCTGCTGAGGTGCTCATAATAGCATGAACCCCATTTTGACAACACAGATCAACATTCTCCAAGTGTAGCTCAATAAAGCAAGCTTTGTAATCCAATTCATGAGGAAAATGCAGGCCAAACAGAATGCTGTGAGCAGCAGATCGGTGAGGTTTTTAACCTGCTTGATCTTTTGAAGTTTTCCCTTTCTAAGAGAGATAGCATTAAAGATCTTGTGATGAAAGCAAAAACTGCTTCAGAACAGATTCTGACAAGATTTCACTCTTTCTAGGAATTCCACCTTAGCAAGCCACCCCTACCCCAACCTGTACAACAGACACAGAGACTTTCTGCCTTACAAGCTCATTGAAACTGCTGGCCTCGTAACTCTTAACTCCAGGGCAAAGCAAGATTCTAGACTTAAACTGATAAGCAAGTACAGCTAAGGAAGTCCATCTGACAGACACGAGCAGGCAACAGCCCAAGGCAGATGTAAATTTTCCATCAAATATGGGAGTCCAATCCAGACCATATCCTTTGCAAATGCGTGGTTTCTCCCCTGCAATCACTCTTATGCTTTTGCAGTACACTCTCCTTCCTCTTCCACACTGTTTCCAAGACGCAGGAAGGACCAAACCTATCAATTGCAAGATGCGAAACTGCCTTTCTCCCAAAGACCCCTGAGGATCTCAACTTCATTCTGCCTACTGGCAAGAACATTAGGCAACCTGTGGTTTACCTCGATAACATGTCACCACTTTGTTCCCTTAGGAACTGCTTTGCTCCTTTTCAAAGGACTCTTCAGTAGAAGGTATTTGCTACATGATATATCTTATACACAGTCACTGACAAAAGTTTCTGCTCATAAACTCTGACACCTGTGCCAAACAAGAGAACCCTTTCCCATAGCTTCATGAACAGCTCTTTCTAGTAAACATACATCCTCCCCAAAGAGCTTGTCAGAAGCAATACTCATCTTTTACAGCATCTCCAATAACATGTTCAGGTACCCAGCACCAACTCCACTGTTGGTAACCTGTGGCCCAAGAAATAACTTTGTAGCTAGTGTGCCCAATGTCACTGCAGAAAGCCTATGCAGTACCGTACAATCTCACAGCTATCAGATTCTGTGTGCCTAAGCAACCAGAATTGGGAATCTCAGCAGCCAGCTAAAGCACTGCTTCAGCAACAACTTCCTGCAGGATGGATTTCTGTCCAAGCCTGGCAAAGCTGGCTGCTTGGCTAAGTGGATGGCTCCTTGCCTCAGCTGATCTCTGATCAGTCGAGAATAAATGGTTCTATGTATGCCCATGGCTTTTGAATGAAAACAACTGATGTTCTTCATTTCCCCAGGCAAGTAATAAGGAACCTTTGAAATAGGGACCGTATCAATCGTTTCTTTGATCCTACTGTATCCTGCAGATTTTGCATCCTTGAGACCCAGTTTTATTCTTCTCCAATTGTCAGATGAAAAGCACTGCAAACCCAGCATGAAACCTGGACCCAAGAACCAATCATCTTCTGTTGACACAGTAAAGCCTATAAAGGAAAGATCATTTCCAGGTGCAATCTTGAGAGGGAAATCATACACACAAGATAATCAATGTCAGTGCTGAATAAAATAATTTCAGTCCTGTGTAAGTACAACTGTTACAAAAAGATTTTCAAAGATCTGCCCTACATTGCTGCCTATATGGACATGCTATCAATGTGAGGGAGAGCAGAAGGATTTTTTTCTCCCTTTCATTTTTTTAAATCATGTAGTGCGGATAAAGAGAACAACAAACACAAGAACAACAGATTGTTCTCTGGTGAGGAGAAAATCCTCATCACAAAAGCAGGAAACCAAAGTTTGTCCTTTTTTTTTTGATCAATTACAAAAGGATGACAATAAGAACTTTTGTGTTTCACTATAAAGGCTTAATTATAAAGCCTTCATAAAGTTTCAATAGCGGGTTCAAATAGAAATCTCAAGGCTGCAAGGATGTGATCTTTTCCATGTGCTGAAACACAAATTTTCATCCTTCTGAACTGAGAAAAACAACCAGTGCAATCCAGTTTTCCTTTTTTTTGTGGGGTAACATGAGTAGTGCTCATCAATTAACTTAATATTGTACAGCCATATTATGTTCCTCTGCATCAGTTCTTTCGGTTCTCTGTTTTACCTGGGAAGTATTCTTAAAAAATGAAATTTGCCTTAATCATGGATGATGTGTATCCATCTGAAAGTGCCCATTAGCCTATAAAGAAGATTTTGATGAGACAGAAGGTAGAAGAACAAACACTGAGTCAGGAAACCTAAACATAGTGCTGACATTTTTAAGACTCTCTTGACAGTCCTACTGACAACAATTCCCCTGTCTTGGGTCTTCTTCCTTGGAGAGAAATCTTCTAGATCATGGCACCAGTCATGACATGCAGCATTAATTGTGCTGAATGCCTTGAACATGAATCCATAATCATGCTGAACTGTGAATTTCCAAACTAGTGTCACCTTCTTCCTCTTGACTCCAAAGATTGCGCTGATTAAACTGCAACCAGAAAGAAGCAGATGTTTCTCCAAATTATGGCTGCCAGAAAAATATCTCTCAGCACTCTCAGAAACATGAGGAAGCCATTTGCACAGGGAAACAGTGGAAGCAGAGGAAGACAGTGAGATAAGTATCCCTATCTGCCTAAGAAGATCGTCTGTCACATGCCTTAGCTTTTGAAAGTGCACGGCTGAAAGAAAAACACCAGCAATGACAATGGACCAAAACACACGAGAGAAAATAAAATTTGATACCTGTCAATTTTCCTGCTGTTGATCCCTATTCTGAACCCCTCTGTGGCAGAAAACCCAAAATTTACTTAATTCACAGTAATACAGGAATCTGCAATGCAATGAATGTGAGAAGCTGGCAAGGAAAGCTACATTTGTCATAAAGAAAGGGAAACCACACTAAAATCTCCTGTAACTGCAGAACACATAAGATTTCACATGTGAACAGCAAAACTGATAACCGATTTTACTGTTTATACCAAGGAAGAGCTTTAATATCACAGATGGCATGACACCTTTTACCTCATTGGTTGTGATAATTGCTTAACATTTTCAATTTTTTTCTAACAGAAAAATCTAGAAATTCTGTAGGCAAGGTTTCTGCTAAAACATCCACTGAAACCCTGGGAAGTTGAAACCAGCATAAGATGGCAGGGAAAATTTTACTAAAACCTTTTGAAACATTAAGCCATGCAGCATTACCGAAGGTAGATGTTGATTTTATTAACCGAATGTTAAATTATTTAAAATAACGGACTCACACAAGGTGCTGGAAAAGGACAGGACAGTGATAGCTGGTGTTGGGTGTGGGCAATGCATCATATTCATAATCAGTTTCTTTACCTGCTTCCACTGGGGTATGGGAGCAAGACGGCCCTGCTCTCGTCTGCTGGATGGCTGGTTGTGAACACGTTCTTGATAAGGCAGGACGGGTTGCTGCATGCAGGTTGTAGGAAAAATGGGACCCAGGAGGAAAGATAAAATAGTAAAGGAAACTCAAAGAAAGCCAAAGGAATGGGATACAGAATAAGACAGTCAAACATTTAGGAAAAAAAAAAAAAGGGGTAGGGGAGAATTCATTTAGCAAGTAAAATATAAAAAGGGAAAAAACATCCAAAAATGGGAAACTACACATATTTTTGGACCCACCCTTTATTTTCATTGTTTCTTCAAATCAGCCTGGTTATTCCAGCCAATGTGTAGTGGTTGAGGAAACATTTGATTGGTAAAGAGTGGGATAAAGGTCACCATTCTGAGATTACATTATACTACTAACACTGATGTGCAGTGTAGTATAGACATACTTGACCTAGCTTTAAAGTAGCTAAGTCAGGTCCCACTCACAATGTGGGCATGGCACAGAGCTTGACACAAGCTATGAAGACAGACTATGCAGCAGAGCAAGAACTCAGGCATTTAAACCATACTGAACCTTATACTGCTGACACCGCATTGCTAGCAGTAGGTTGAAGTGACTCAGTCTAACTTCAAAGACAACCACCCTGGAGTTGCAGTAGTTCAGATACCATGCTGAATAACCAGCAGTCATCGGGAAGCTTCACTTGGAATGACACAAATATCCTAATTGCAAAGAAACTCCCAGGCATTTATCTGCTGCACTTACATACATACACATACAAAACTTAATCACAGTTCACTTCACAAGAACAAACAGGTGTAACCTGGCATGAAAAAGTTCAAATCAGAAATTAAATGATCATTCTTAAACATTAGAAGTGAAATGTTCCTGGAAAGCTTTTAAACAGCAATAGTAGTTATAAAAGAAACCTAATTGCTGGTAAGATGTTTGTGAAAGAGATTACATAATATAATAGGGGCAATAACAGAGAAATAGACTTTAATTGGGAAGTTCTTCTCCACCCTATACTCCTAAATTTTAATTTTTTCTCTTTTGATTAAGCTTCCCTCTTCCCTAGGAGAGCCTTTGAAGTAGAAAAGCACCACTAACATCCAGTCTCAAGGAATGCATGTTATCATTCATGATTTTCCCTCACAATTCCAAAATAAAGGGGTTTATTATCCATGTCCTACCTGTCTTCGTAAGCTTGAGGCCTGCACTGGTGCATTCTCCTCAAACTTGGCCAGTAGCTGGGTTGCCATAGATTTGACTTTGTTCTGATTCCCAATGGCAGCATCAATTCTCCTTTCTGTCAGGGCACTCACCAGTGTGGGCCTTTCTTCTTTGTAGCTTCGTGGGATGTCCTCCTAACAATCAGTGATATCGAAATTTAACAAGATACAACCAGATCACCTTTTCCTCTCTACCCCTTTGCTGTGATAGGTTTCTAACACCGTAGAAAACAAATCTATTAGTCTGCACTTGAAAGCTCACATTTTAATTTCCTTTGGCATGTTACTTATCTTTTCAACCTTACTTGATACACTTAGGTACCAAAGAGACCACAGTTGAAACACTCCCATGAATCCCTTGACATAAAGTAAAGGCCTATCTTCAAACCTTCATTGACAACTCAAAGCACTAAATTTTAACTCACTTGTACCTATTTGGCTATAAACATTTCAACTGAAGTACTGCCTTATGGGGCATACTAGAACTGTATGCTTTTTGTATTAACCAAGGCTAAAGTTTAAATACGAATGAAACTTCTGGCTATACCGTATGACTTTACTAAATGAAAGTTTTATCCTTGGTGTCCTCATCAAACCAAAGTGAATTGCAATAAATTAAAAACAGAACATGGGGGAACTGCAACATTCCATTTGTTGTGTACTATTCTTTCATAAGCATCAGTAAAATATTTGCACTACAGACACAACAAAGCATAACCTCTGAAGAAGAATAAATTAATTCTTCAGAAGAAGAATTAATTAATTTTTTTTATCTAAAAAATCTTATATAAACCTTTTCTGGATATAGAAAATAAAAGGACTGAAGTGGGAACAAGGAACCCAAGGAACCATATGTTTTCCTCCCTGACACCTTCCTCACTGTAATACTTACATCCTCAGATTGGCTGGTTTTTCTCCTCTTTCCTGCACCATCCAGTTCCTTTTCTTTTTTGTCCTGAAAATGGAAGGAGGAGGGAAAAAAAAAAACAAACCAAAGATAAGGATTCTCATACCTCTCTGTCCTGAGATAAATGTTGTCAGTGCACTTAAATAAGCTTTACAACACAACTGATTAATTCTCTGGGCTCATTCTCCATTTGTTTAAGAAAAGGGTTTCTTCCTGATCCTCTTTAGGGGATTCCTACCTTCAAATTAGACATTCTTCAACATTTTCAACTAATTGGGAACTGAGTAACCAGTTATGTTCCAATACAAAATATATCCCCAAATACTACCACAAGGCTAGGATTTTAAGACTGAAATATACCACTACTTGGGAGTACATATTTTGGATGCAATTCTGCAGTTATAAATGTCATGTATTGTCCCATACCAAGAGCTGATGAACACATGATCTCTTGTAAACACATTGCAGATAGACACTTACACATGCATTTTTAGTACCACCTACTTGGACAGCAGCCTAAGAGACACAAGTATCATCAAGAATGTGGTATTGTTACCTTTGGAGTGCGCTTCCGAGAGATGCTTTGTCCCAGTTTACTGAGAAAAGAGATAGGCGATTTGGTGCTGGCAATTAGGGCTGCTTTTTCTTCTGCATTCAGGTCCAGACTATCTATTAGCAAAAACAGGTAGGACAAGGGAATGCCAAGAAGTTTTTTCTGTGGTGCTATTATTAAACACATAACTGAAGGACTCACTGATTTCTTTAACATAACACCCTTTTTCTTAAATTCTCTGTAAAAAATTATTGTAATATCCAGAATTACTGCCTTTCTCAGCTACTCTGCTTTTTCATTTTGTCAAAATCAATTCTCATTTCAGGGTTTATAAGCACCCAGAATAAATACTGTGTTTGTTTACTCTACTTTCATATTTAAAAAATCATGATCATCAGTATTCTTAAGAAGAGTTCAGAGTTTTGGAAATAATACCTGATACAAACTATATTTAAAAGGCTATTAAACCCACTTTTTTTTCCCCCACCAGAATGATAGACTTTAATTAAGATCATCAGTAACAAAAAAAAGGTGTAACAATATTATTAATATTTAAAGGTAGGCCATATTTATTTGCATTAGGCAATTACATCTTTCACTTCTAATCAAAGATCTTTCATTCCTCATTGGCCTGAAGATATTCTCACCATTCACGGATGGTAAATAGGCATAAAACTTGGCCAGTGTTTTGAAATTACCCACTAAACAACTAATAGCAAGGTATCTCACATTAGCTAAGACAGATGAACCTGTAATAATAGCAAGAAAGCAGAAAACTTATCTAGTAGTGCTTGTTCTGGCTTCGGCTAGATAGAGTTAACTTTCTTCCTAGTAGCTGGTATAGTGCTATGTTTTGGGTTCAGTATGAGAAGAATATTGATAACACTCTGATGTTTTTAGTTGTTGCTAAGTAGTGTTTAGACTAAGTCAAGGATTTTTCAGCTTCTCATGCCCAGCCAGCACGAAGGCTGGAGGGGCACAAGAAGATGGAAGGGGACACAGCCAGGACAGCTGACCCAAACTGGACAAAGGGATATTCCACACCATGTGACATCATGGCCAGTATATAAACTGGGGGGAGTTGGCTGAGGGGGGCGGATTGCTGCTCGGGAACTAACTGGGCATCGGTCGGCGAGTGGTGAGCAATTACATTGTGCATTGTTTGTTTTGTATATTCCAAATCTATTATTATTATTATCATCATCTTCTTCCTCTTCTTCCTTTCTGTCCTATTAAACTGTCTTTATCTCAACCCATGAGTTTTACTTTTTTTTCATTCTTTCCCCCATCCCACTGGGTGGGGGGGGAAGTGAGTGAGCAGCTGCATGGTGCTTAGTTTCCAGCTGGGGTTAAAGCACAACAGTGCTGAAGTGAGAGTAGAATTTTTGAGGACATTATTTTGTATTAACTATTTTTTTTTGCTCCTGATACTGCTAACATGGTCTTTATCAGCACCAATAAGAAGTCAACTTTCTGTAATTTAAAGTTAGTGAGTGACTAGTATGAGCTCATGCAGAAGAAGCATCAAGATAACTGAAGCACAGACATTCACCCTGAACCTCTTTAAATCTGACAGACGTGCCCCAAACTCCTTACCGCTAGAGGGGATGGTGTCTTTGAACATCTCATAGAACTGTGTGAGGTACATCACCATCGACAGTTTATCTGGCTCTCCGACAGATGCCATTTCCTTTCCAGTCATAATGGGGGATATTCCAAACTCTTTTTCAGCGATGTCAAAGGCCAGCTGGTTATTCTTCTCCACATTGTGCTCATCCAAAGAATCAAAGTCTCTGCAAAGGGCAGAAAGAGGGCATGCACTGAATCAGGTAGAAACCAGTCTTCTGAAAGAGTTCAGCGATCCACCTCCCTTTTTTTTTTTTTTCTCCAAAATCTCTCAGATTTATTTGCCAGCAACCTTTTCATATTGCAGAGTTGATGCTACTCAATTACGGTGAACTTTGGCTCAAACGTATTCTTTTTTCATTTTTTTTGCCCCTCTTCCAAACCCAGATTTTTCTTCTTAAAAATTTTATTATCCTCTGAAATACATCTTCACTTCCTTATTTGCTGGAAGACTGTACTGTTTTCTCCTACGTAAATTCTTTTGTATGCTTGGAACTAAATTAAGTCTTCACTTCTGTCCTCTTTTTTTCTTGACTGATCCATATTTTAGTTCTTCTGGCACTTTCCAAAACTTGTAGAACTCTATAAAAATTATATAAAAAGCTATAGCTTGTAGAGGGTTATATAAACCATTTTAAAAGCTATTTGAAGTCTCCACAAGCTATAATGCTATTAAACAGAGTACCTCAGGTTAACTTGAGTACACCAACAGAGAAGTAATTCAGTGTACATAGAAGGGAATAACCACGTAATTTTTCAGCATGCTTTACATTGGATTATGTCTTTAAATACAGCTCTAGCATTTACTTTTTCTAATGTCCCTTTGGGAAGTTGAAGACATTTCAGATTTCAGTTTAAGTACCAGAGTCTTTGCTACTGTTACTTCTTCCAGCCAGTGTTTTCCCATTCTAGAATCTGGGCACTGTTTTACCCAGTATATCATGTAAGAGGACGCTTCCCTCATTCATCTGATCAGCATGTTAGTGTACAAACAGTAGCAACGTGTCTATTTAGACTGTGGGTCACTACTTCTAGAAAGAGCAGCCTAGAAGTCTTTTAAAAGAGTTACTGTTAAACAGGAGATTTATATAGGGCTGTATAGAGACTTGTTCACAAGAAATTTTACTGAAGCTCTGAACTCTTCCTGACTAACTTCACAGAGAAAAGAGCTGTCAGTCAATAATGCTTTCCAGTCAGTACCAATTTGAAGTTTAATTCTGTCAAATTGTCCAGAAGGGAAAATGACAACACATTTATCTTCATATTCATCAAGCTATTATGACCTTCCACTCTGCTGGTGAATCACTGTACGTTAGCCTCTATCAAGTTTAATTGAATTCATTTCAATCCATTTCACCATAAGTCACAAATGCATTGCCTCAGTCTCCATACTGTTTGTTCCAAATATCACTAATGTTCTGCCCGTCCCAGTTATTCAAAACAGCCAGTTACTCACATTAAGTCTGGACGGTATCTGTGGATAATGGCACACAAAGCTAGGCCACTTTTCCAGGACATCGTGAGATCTGTCACATTAACACCAGCATATCCATCAGTCTGTCTCTGGCACCAACTGAGCAATTTACTAGAGCGAGCTACAGACTCTGTTTAAAAAAAAAAAAAAAAAAATTAAAAATCAGGTTTTCAAGTAGAAATGCACAACTTCTCTTTCAGGAATTCAAAATACAACATAAAAAACACGAATCAACAAACAAAACCTTCATTTAAACAATAAGCTCCTTCTACAATGGCCAATACAGGACAGAATTCTTATTTTTTTAAAAAAGACCTTCATATCTATTTTAGATTCAAGAAAGGATTTTTAATTTGCTAAAAAGTAATTATCTGAACTATAACTGGCCAGGCTTTACACCCTAGCCCTTGTATAAGAGCCCCAGGAATTATAAAACAGTTGCAAAGGCTTGTTAAATATGATCACAAGGATATACAGTAGCACAATGCGCTCTCAAGCCCAGATATACTATTTCTAATGGAAGAACTACAAACATACTGCTGCAACTTTTCTTTCCTCTTGAAAGCTTTCCTTTAAAAGCACTGACCTGTTTTGACCTTGCCTTACTGCAAGATCTGATGAGATTACAGCCTAAAGGGACATGGTTGCAGGGCAAAGAACAAATCAAAAGACTACAGAGCTATTCAGCAGTGAAAGGGAGGCTTAGCAGCAAAGCCTCATTCTGAGAGTCCCCAAACACTATCTGGGCATCCAAAGGGAAGGTGTGCAAAAGCAAAAGTTCAACATACCCTCAGGGTACAGGGTATGCAGGGTATCAAGTAAACAGATACTGAAATGCTTATCACAAAGCATCTATCTTTAAGAATAATGCAAACCAAGTGAGGTTTCATTTGGAGATGAGATTAAGTAAAGGAAAGCATGAACATGAAAGACTGCATAAGAAATACTTTCTGTTATGTTTGTAAGAATTTTGAGTTTACCGTTAGAGTGAATTCAGGCTAGGTTTCTGCACTCTAAGGACATCGTTATAGGATAAAGGAGGTGAAAAGAAATGCTTGTATAAGCAAATATGCTTAGAAATTTAACAGCATTATAAAGCAAGGGAAATCGGGCAAACAAAAACATATTTTCATGTTAATGGAAACTTGAAAAATTGGAAAAATCAGGCTACGGATGAAACAATTGCTGGATACATTTTCTAAACCAAAAGAGACTCATTAAATAATACTTTACAGTCCTGCTGCTCTACGGCTCCTGCACTGATCCAGCTTCAGAATACCTAAAGGAATAGAACAGTAGCCAGGCCTACCATTCCGAGTCAGCTTTGGTGTCCTGGAGTTCACAAAGTTCTCTATTTCTAGGTGAATATCTTTCAAGTCTCCTGTATTATACAAGTGGCGTACCTAAAATGACACAAAAAAATTCAAAATTACCAATATGCCATGCACCGAAGATCCATAGAGAAAGAGCCAGAGGACAAGAAGGACCCATCCCAAGGCGCAAGAAGGAAGACAAGTATACCTAGGTAGCAGAAATCTCTAGCCCAAGAACCCCAGAACAACAAGGATCAGCTCATCAGTGCTGAACAGTCTAGCTGACTGCTGCTGCTCAGTGGATACCAAATCACAATGACAGACTGCTATGCTAGATTATTACAAAGAAAATGTGCAAGCATGCGCACACACACAAACACAAATGTATAGATTTCATGTATCATTACAGCATGGTTAAAACTATCAAAATCAAAAATTCCTAAAAAGGAATTTGTTAAAGTACAGAGGTCTACTCTTGACTGACGTATCTGCTTTTCACTGCTTCCACGTTATACTGCCACATCAGGTCACTATCTGTTCCCAAAACATTAGCATAGCTTCACCTAAGGAAAGACAGTGCAGATTACAAGCATTCAGAAGCACCATTTGTCCAGTTACCTGCTGTGGCCGCAAGAAGTTGACATTGATATTGGGATACCGGGTGGCAGGATCAATGCTGTAATGGCTGAAGTTTTTACTCACATTCTCAGGGGTGGTCTGAGGCAGTAGCCTGTAAATGCTTTCCCTTGGGAAAATAAAATTAAAAAAAAGTTTTGGGTTTTGTTTTGGTTGCTTTGTTTGGTTTAGGTTTTATGGTGGTTTTGGTCTTTTGTGGGGCTTTTTTTGGTTCCGTTTTGGTTTTTAAAGAGATGCATTGCTACTAATACTGTGAAGTAAATTCTAAAATCAGAAATTTGACCACTTCAGACATTGACTAGCTAAGATTCAGTATAAGTATATTAAAATCTGCAATTTAATACAACTCCAGAAATCAAAAGGAGGGAAGAAAACAATACATTAAGCATAACTGAAAGGGTTGCCCAGTACAACCAAGACATTGAGACACTGGAGCAACTCAGGAATAGGGGACTGGGCCACTTGCCCTGTGAGGAGAGGCCAAGGGAATGGGGTACGTTCAGTGTGCAGAGAAGGCGGCTCAGGGAAGATCTTACTGCTGTCTGCAAATGTCTAATGGAAAGGTGATGGAAGTCTGGCTCCAACTGCAGCATTATTATCCCCACCATTTTTTAAACTCAAACAAATGGAATTTTAAATACCCATTGTGCTGTTTATACAATTTTTAAAATCATACTATAGTTCCTGATGATCAGAAGCTGCAGTTGCTTAAGCTTAAAATAGGTTCTACTAGCTGTTGCTTCTACTTACTCCATCTTTTAATTACCCTAGTTCTGATCTCTAAGAGATCACCTTGAGTCACCAAAACAACACTCAGCCAAAGATGATAAAAACATCAAGAACTCAATACTCCAAAGAAACACAAGATGTTGTTTGGCTTATATGAAACAAAGTGACCAATTTAGGAGAACATGAAATAAAAGCAGGTCATAGCTTCCTTAGAAGGAAATCATAAGAGACATTTACAAGATAATAGGGGATGGCAAGAATTTTTGTCTCTGGTGTATTAAAGGCACCTACATCTTCATCCGGTTTGCTATTGCAAGGCTGGTGACAGTAAGTCAGGCTCACTTTCTCCATGCAATGCCAATAAGCACCAAAAAAGATTTTTCATCTAATCATTTAAAACTAGGACCAAGAACACCCGCAACATTTCTTATTCCTCTATAAATATACTTCAGTTTATCAGCTCTTTAAGGAAATTTTTTCAACTGAATTATATCCACAAGCATTCCCACAAGGGAGAATCTGTATCTCCCATTCTGTCAATATATTTGTACTAAAAGAAACTGGAATGAATGATGAGACATCAGAGGATAGATTAGAACTTAAAATGTATTCATTTTCTCCATTACCTCTCTGCAAGAACTTCCAAAGGACTAGCTCCGAGTGACCAACTTCGTACCATCCAAGCAGAGTCCATTGCAGCCAAAAATCCCCTGGCTATTCCAGTTCCCATTGGCCAAAATGGCTAATATTATAGTTTACAAAAAAAGCAAAGAAAGGAAAAGCATCAGTTAGGGGAAATTTTAAATATTAAGAATATACTCAGATGGTAATCTGCTGGAAATTATAGCTCAGTAATTAGCTTAAAGCTCTACTCTTGCTAGGCTAGAGGAAGCCAGATGTATGGTGAATTGCCCATGAGCTCCCCCAAAGCCAATATTCCTCTATTTCCAACAACAATTCATAGCCTGGAGTGCCTTAACAGCTTCTCTTCAAGGTTGTACTTTTTAACCAACTACAAAATGCTAATTATTATCAGGCCTACAGTAGGTTCTGTAGAGAGTCTAATTGTCTCAATATGAAGCAGATGGAACAGACGCAACTTCAGAAAAATCTCTGCACACATTTTCTTAAGCAAGATCACTACCATCCCAAATACTCTGTTTTCCCAACACTCCTACCCTTCCTTCAAACCTCCCACTTCATTATATAATAAACAGCAGCTTTCCTTATAGTAACTCTCTTATAGGCAGCGCACATTTCAGTGATGGCTGCAACGGCTTGTGCTTATGCTTCAAGTCACCATTTACACATAGTAAGTTTAACACACAAACCTCTAAGAGACTGTCCCCAACCAGCGCCACAAGTAACTGGTGGCCATTCTGCTCTCGCACCAGGGCTGCATTCTCGGATGCATACATGCACGTGAAGTCAAACATGGCCACATCTGGCTGACCATAGTGATTGATGGCAAAGTCCAGTGATGGCAGCTGCTGATTAGTGGAGAAGTCAGCTGCTTCTCTGGCATAGTTTAGCAGAGCCTCCTGGTCTACATTCTCCCGTGAGAGTAATAACTCTGTGTCAGCATAATCCTATCAAAACCAGAAAAGTAAAAGTGAAATAGCCAAATCCACAAGTTTATTTTAAGACTGGTATATACAATAGTTGGCATTAAAATTCTGACAAATCCACTGATACAGGTTTGCCCTCTAATTTCTTTCATTCCTATCTGTGTTTATGCTTCCAAGAGAAAATTTGTAAATCTTACTGCAAACAGTAATCAGTCCTGCTAGTGTTTCTGACTGTGAAAGGGCTAAGAAACTTCTGAGCATTTCTCTTCACACACTTCAGACAAAAGGCACAAGACCCCAATCCTTATTTATTCATTTGTGGCCAAACGACTTTTAATCAGCTTCTGCCAGAATAAGATATAGGTAAATTTCCCTGCTTTTTCATTCCCATAAAATGAGGGAAGCTCAACTAAGCTATAAAATGTTCTTTAAGCATATTTTATCTCAACACGAATGAAACCCCCAAATCTACAAAGGGATACAAATGTGGAGAGGAGAGGGTAAGTCTTGTAATACTCTTCTGATGGTTCAAAATACTTCAGAAGGGCATTAACTGCTCTAAAATACACCTGTATAAAAAACATTACATGGTAGAAGAAGAGTGTATTTCCCTTCTTTCAGCACACTGAAAGCAAGTTTTCCCCAAAATCTTATGGAGAATATAGGAAAAATTAATACCCACATGCCGTATCACTCCTTTTTCCAGCAAGCTCTGTTTTTTGGCAGTCATGACAAAGTAGTGTGTATCATCTTTGTAGTAGACAATGTTCTCCAAGTCAATACCTTGTGACAGAACAAAAGACGTGGTAGCGAAGGAACAAGTTACATGTTACATGCAACACAAGAGCTCTATCAGAAGAAAGTAAATTGAAACTACGTGGTTAGAAAGCCTTAGACAGAGAATGCCAAGCAGCTTTCTCCTACACTTTTGATGACTTCAAAATCTGAATCTTCAACAAAACCACAAACAACACATCTCACCTGCGTATAGCTACCTCTTTTAAAAAATATATTTATCATTACTCTAAGGTTTGCATTCAGATATGGAGTGCAAGAAGCTGAACTCAGGATTCAGACTTTTCCTATTTAGGGCTCAGATTTCCTGAAAACCATCAGGGAAATAAGTTCTCCACTTCTGAACAAAAATGACATACATCTGAATGATACACATCTGCTTTGTACACCTGTATAGAACAGCTGTAAAAATGGGGAAGTCAGATTTCAGAGACAGCAAGGACTAACTTCTTTGCACAAGATGTTCATTTTTTGATTAAACATGATACCCGCGTTACCAAATTGTAATAATAGAGACAAACAGTTTTCACTGGGAATCTGGCAATTGCTGGCAAACCTGTGGCTTCTCGTAGATCCTGGAAGAACTTCTGGTTGAATATGAAGGCCACACCGCTGATCTCTTCTACTTTGGCTTCAGCTGTGGTGTTGCGATTGATGAAGTTTGCTGTGATAGCAATTGCTAGTTTACCACGGAACTCTTTTCGGCGAAACCCTACAGGAAGGAGAAAGTAGTAACGCTGAAAAATAGAGCACACCTTAAGAGAAGGCTCAGCATGCCACAGACAGGTGCCCTCACAAAATAAAAAGGGAGAATGGATCTGATGAATTACAAATGCCTCCACAGAGAAAGCAACAATTGCTTCATCAAAAGAATAAAAGTTCTTGTTTAGGGAAAAAGCTCCCCTCTTTCCTACCTCCTTTCCAAAAATTGCAACTTGCATCAAAAATATTAAGATAGAATTCTATACTACACAGAATAATATTCAACACTTCAACTTCTACTCCCAAAAGTAAGAGCTACAACACTACTCGACTAAAGAAAAAATGTAGGAAAAATTATCCAGGTAAACACTTAATTCCTTTGCTAGTAGATAGGAAGAGGAAAAAGACAACCCACATGTCTTTAATACAAATGGATTTTTACATGGACTTTTAATCTCCCTTTCACTAGTCAAACATCTTTCCAGATTTTCACTGGGATGTTAAAGGCAATTTTTGTTCTAACTAATTTAAGAAGAAGTTCTGTTTGAAAGCAAATTAAGGACACACCATTACCTTCTAAGGTGTTCCTCCTGCCATCCCCTCCAATGATTACTTCAAACTCATACTCAGACACTGGATGGGTTTTGGGGTGGACCAATGCACGCCAACCTATTCCTGTTGATAAACTCCATGTTAATGACAATATAAACAATGTTCATAATAGAACAAATACATAAACCCACTTCTTACTATCTATAATCCCTTCCTCACACGGTCAGTAAAGGTACACTGCAGGACAGCTATATTGTTGACAGGGCTATTGCTGACTTGCACAGCCACTCTCTGCATGAATGAGAGGCAAAGACAGCTCTGGTAAAAGCCCCCTGTTACCTTTAAGGATCACTACAACCTTTATAGCTTCTCCACTATCTATTCAATTAATAGGATGCCAAAAAACAAGTAAGCTACCATCTCCCATAGCAATCAGAGAACAGGTTTCACAAAGATACGAAAAGCATACCAAGGATCATTCACTGATATATATATCCTCAGTGAATGCAAGGAAATGAGTTGTTTTAAAAAGGTATCTTCTAAGTGCAACAGGCTTAAATATTTCAGGAGCAATTACGATCTACTGTGTCTCGGTCTATTTCTGTGTATTACTTCATTCAGGTGATTTCGTTTCATATAGTAACCAATTTGGTTTCGTCACTAGAAAAAATAAATCCTACTAAAAATTCAAGCAAAAGTGTATTAATAATTACTCTTATTAATGGAGCATGAGGAAAGGACTTAGAGTCATAAGCAGGGTTAAGGAATAGGAGTCTGTGTTTCTACCATAAGTTCCCCTCTCTCTACTACCCGTTTCAATACTACTTGCTTTCATTCTCCTGATCCTCCGGAGGATAAACAAGCCCCTGAAATTCCACATTGACATGGATCTCTATTCCCAAGATCAAGGCAACCTTCAAAAGGATAAGCTGGAGCTGACGGATGCCTGCAAAAAAGCAGATGATAAAGAAATAAAAACAAAAGAAAAGAGTACAAGTGCCTATGCATCTCTGTTTGACATTACTGATAAACTGATTTAAAGGCCAGCTGCTACTGTCTTTTTCCCGCTGTGTTCTCAGCACTTCATCCAGGCAACACTGGCATGTAATATCACAGCATGCCAAGAAACTTCTATACAGCTGAGAAAACCCAGCCCTTTTCAAAGGATAAAAAGTAATTTTTTTAATCAACAACAGCTCAGCAACAAGGGAAGCAACGAGAACATGCACTGCAGGAGAGGGAGGGAAGAGAGCACAAGCAGCACTGCACTTTTGTCACAGATGGCAACTAGCCATTCGATCAGCCTAGCTGTAATACTGAACTGCACCTTCATCCTAACACCTTTGAGTTAGTGAGAGCATAGTAAGTTCCTCACCACCTCTTTTCTCTTCAGTTAACGTAGGTAGTGCGTATGAAAATGACAGTGTGTAAACTCTATTAATTTGAAGGAAGACACCTTGCTGTCATATTTCAGATACCGAAATGAAAAAATGCTTCACCTAACACTGAATTTCAGCTGTGCTGAGATACAAAAGAAGACAACATGCATAAAGTACCGGAATAATAAAAATGACAAGAAATCAGAAAGGAAAAAGCAATCTGCAAGACTGAAGTTCCAAAAATCTTCTAGTTTTAGCATTCATTGCCCCCCCACCAAAAAAAAGCAAGCAGTTTTTGCTTTGGAAAAGAAGCCAAATCTTACCTACTATGTTTGTGCCACTTTGCACTTCCCACTTATACCCAGTGGAGAACACAGACTGGTGGGCAAAACCTGGCTGTGCAATATCCAGTAAATTTTTGAAAAAAAGAAAAACTGGAAAATAACAACTCCTGCTCCACCAAACCATTCACCTTTCAAAGGAGACTGATTTTGCAGAATTTGAGAATCATCAAAATTATTCTCAATTTTAATATGTAAACCTCTATTTAATCAAAATTTATTCACAGGCTGACAGTGTTCTTGAAAATATCAACATCACTCTTCCAAAAATTAACAAAGCCAAAATTGTTCCTCCTTTTTCCAGATCAACATTCACAAGAATGTTCAAAAGCATTCAGTAATTTTTCTTTTTTATAAGTTGCTTACAATGCTCAAGAGAAACAGAATAATGTGGCAGCTGCAGGAATATAACAGCAAAAACACAACAATTATCCATTTTAAAAAGTTGGAACCTTAAAAGTACTTTTTCAGTGTAAGAAAAAGATATGCCTTGGAAAGGTATAAAAGATAGATATACATTGCATGTATGATAATCTCATGACACAATGTATTTCTTTCACATCTAGGTCTAGCCCGAAATGCATGATGCAAAGGTAATGCTGAACTGTACCCAATGGACTTGAGAGCAGTGATTGGTGTAGGCTGAATTTTAATGAGTTACCCCATGCCCTCACCTCACAGGGGAAAAGTCTCCTGTGAAGAACAAGTGCTGATGTGTCTAGCAGCAGCTGTACTTACTGATATGGTCTATGGATCCTGCACAGAATTTGCCGTAAAACTTTTTGGCGCCAAGACCCCTCAAGTCATGTATGGTGAATGGCCACAAATGCAGCACATTATTGCGGGAAAAGGCATCCCTCTTTTCTATGACCACCACCTTGGCTCCCAGGAATGACAGGTCGATGGCTGTACGAAGGCCACAGGGTCCAGCCCCAATTATCAGACACTGCAAAACAACCAGCACAGAGTAACTTTACAGTCCTCAGAGGAAACAGATATTTTTACCACAGCTTCCAAGCATCCCACAGCTCTTAGGAGTAAGTGTCTTTGCAACGTAAATTAAAATTTCAGATCAGTCTTTCTAGTGTTACCTGACACATTCTGCCACTGATATATTAAAGCAGTAACCGCAACCTGAAAATAAAGCATATCACAGAGCAGTGAAGTTTGAGAAGCAAGCAAGTAAAGTGCCTGTTTGCAATCCTTGTTTTAAGAAAAGCTACCAAGGTGTACTCTCCAAGCTATGTAAGCACATGGAGAACAGCAATATTTCTGAAGGCTTCTCCCTCTCCTATTCCACCCATTGAATTTTTGCTTAAAAAAAAAAAAAAAAAAAAAAAAAAGATTAAAAGATTTCCTCTCATCTTCCAAAGCCTGAGGTGGCCTTTCTTGAGAAAATCTTCAGTAACTCTAAAAATTCCTCATCATCAGTGAGTAGCATAGCAATAGCTACAGCAGATAAATACATGAGATGCTAACGTTTTCATAAACATCATTATTTAGAGTAGGACAGACAGTAGTCAAGTCAGAGCACTCTAATCTATGCTGGTTCTTCTGCTATTGCAGCAAAGGAAACTTCGGGAAAGTAAACATAATGTAAATACAAACTTTGTGTGACTAGACAACTTTTATCAAAATGTTTTCTCCAACCTAACCTTTGTCATATCAAAGGTCTTCGATCTTCTCATATCTTTTTCCACTCTACTCACAAACACTATCAGAGGCTAATAAACAACCCGAGAATGTAAAATACTTGTGTACCTAGTGTTGGAAGTACTTTCTGAGAAAAAATGATACAGCAAGATCATTTCTTTTAAGATTAAAAGGCCAAGCTAGTCAGTTGACACTTCTTACCCACAGAAACTGAGGTCCACAAAGAAAGCTGGCATGGATATGTGCATTCACAGGAATATAGTACACAATCCATTTTGTCATGTTATTTTTATACTTTGATTTCTATTAAGTACAAACCAGACCCACAGAATAAAGACCGTGCTACAGAGGTGGCCGCTGCTGCCATCTGAGTATTTTCCAGATCTTTACATACCCTTATGGCTGGATAATAAAGCTCTTCAAGAAATTCTTAAGTGTGCTACACCTTAACCTGAACCCAACCTTCTGATAAACAGCCGATCCCAAAGCAAAGCTCTTTCTTCGTTGGTCATCTCCATATACCAATTTTTACAGGTCACCACATTTTCACCAGTTATTCACTGGGGCATAATTTCTGCAAATAATGTGAAACTGCAAAGGTAAAGCCTGAATGATGAATAAAACAGCACAAGTTACAACAGTGACAACATAACAACTGACGTACAAATTAAAACTACTGTATAAGATAAGAAGTCACATAAATCTGAGGGCAGAGGTCCAAGTCTAAAGGAAAGGGAAGGGAAGAATAACAACACTGCTTCTTTAGTAGCTTCGGGAACCTGAAGGCATACGGGAGAAAAGGCAAGCCCAACCACTGAGCTATTAAATTCCTAAACAGACTTGTATATTGAACAGGTATTCAACTTGTCATTTGTTAAAAGGGATAATCAATTAGGATCTAATATATTCTTCCAATTTAATATTGTTTTCTTTGTAAGTAAGTATAACTCTCAAATACCACTTAATCTTTCTTTTTTTAAACTTTTAAGAAAATTAGCTGAGCATATCATATTTATCCAGGTAATAATTTTGCTCGTCTGACAACTACAGTCTTCAGAGACTGAATTCAATAAACAACAAGACCACGCCGAGTTGGGTGACTTTTATTCTTTGCTAACTTTCCCCATATAAAATAGTTATGATGGAGTACACAACAGAAAATTAACTGTACTAAAATCAGACTATTCAAACTCAGGCCTACGTAATCAAAGTATAAATTAATTGCCTGTAATTTTGTCACAGAATGTAAAAACATTTTTTTTTCTCTACAACATTCCCCCTTACCCCCAAACAAGGATGTGGCTAACAACATCTAGGTTATGTTTAAGACTCTAGATGTTCTGGATGTAAAATATATGATACTCAGTGAAGTAATTCATAGTCAAAGTTGCTATTTTTTTTACCATCACAAAAATATTAGATTATGTTGTTATAAAACACAGCAAGTTTTAAGCACAATTAAAAACAGAAGAGAAGATTCTGCTCCTTTTTCCACCACTAATACTTCTTCCAGTTTTGGATCTCTTGTAGAAACCTACCTTCTGGTACTGTCACAGGCAGCAACTACATGAGATGCTAAGTACAGCCAAGTAAAGGCAGCTACTGTTGTTACTTGTTCCCTTTCCCCTCAATGACTCCAAGCAACTGCTGCAACTCCATGCACTAAAGCTGTCTCACTCCTCAGAAACACTTCTTGCTCAAGATCTTTCAGACAGATTATATTAAATTTTCAGTAACAACATCATGGTAATGGAGCATTACGTGCAAACTGAAATCCTGTATCCTCTGTATAACCAATGAAGAGAAAGCACCACTTAACTATTCACATTTGAACAACCCATCATGTCCAAGTCTTGCTTTCATGAATGCTGATTATCTGAATTCTGGTTAACCTGGATGCTGGCCATGTGATGCACTAACTGCCCAACTCCAGTCACGGCACTTCATCCCTGCCCAAATTTTAAATGGGCAAGTAAGAGCTATGCTACAGAGGATGAGAACTTCAAAACTGCTATATGTTCAAGTGTATAGAAGCTGAGCTTCCTAAAGAAATGACTGACTTATGTTCTGATAACATGGGTAAAACCCTAAACTTTATTTGAAATTCTATCATCTCCACATGCCCACTTAAGTTTCTGTATTTTTTAATCAGTGGTTTGCAAATTACTTTAAGCATTAGGAATATAAAACTAAGTGAGATAGGAAACATTAAATCAGATATGATTCAGTTCTCAAAAGGCCTCTACTTTGAATAGTTATGATTAACTCTTAGGAATTACTTACAAACATTTAATGGCAGATGCTATTAGGAGAGAAAACAAGTAATTAACAGAAACATATATGAAAAATATAAAAAGAATACACATATTTATCATTTCTTTATATTAAAAGTTTCAACAAAGTTTATACGTAAAGGCATACAAAAATCATTTATCATCACAGGTATATATTCTTTTAAGACATACTAACAACAGGGGGGGAGAACAAACTATATTTCACTTTCTCTCAGCTACTAATTTCACTATTCAAAATGGTATGAATCCCAGATCCACAGTCCTATATCTTTTGGGGTTGGGGCAGAAGGGGGTGCCACCTTTAATTTATTCACCATCCACCCTTTTTACTTGTGTTTCTATACAGCATCTCACCAACAGCTTCTTAGAAACTTGCCTCCCCTCTTCTTTTCCTTTACTCTCTTCTTGTCACCCACCACACAGGAGAGCAGCTATGGAAAAAGCCCTCCCATTTCTCTAGTAGAGACCAATTCAGTGTGACCGCTGACATGTCCACTGCAGTCATTCCCCCCTCCCACTCCTGTGGTCCTTCACACCAACACCAGCAAGTTCTGAGGTTTCTCTCTCATTGAGGGAGTCACGCATGACCCCGTGAGTCTCTCTGTTTATCTCGCCACCATCTCATCTCCAAGATCACCGCATGCCACTTCTACAATCACTCTCTTGATCCTGTTTCTCCAATTCCCATCCCACACTCTCTCTAGCTTGGTTTTGGTGCACAAAATAGGCTAAGTTTTTGGACTGTACAAAATCTCTAGCAAACTCTTTAGTCAAACATTACTCCCAGTATGCTTTACCCCTTTTACCCACTTTTCAACTGCACTTGAAGAGATGTTTTATAGACAGTTGGCTACATATATTTCTTCAAAGCACATCCTCTTCTGATTTCTTTGAAGACTCGGTACTCCTCTATGCCTTCAGCTATTCTTTCAGGGTGCTATCCGAAGGACTTCCCTCATTTCTCCCACTCCTCTCACCGCCAACTTCCCACAGGACTTTGCCCATCGCCTCTTTACCTTCCTCCTCTACAATTTGCCTTTACATCACCTCATTCACGGGTACTGGTTCAATCAGCTTGTCAGTGCTTAGATTCACAGAACTTTTCCAACTCAGAGTGGACTACTTTTTGTCCAAGCTAAAATCTCTACCTTTCCGACATCTTCTCATGGCTACCTAGTTGTCAGTTGAAGCCCAACATGATAAAATGGAGCATGTTGCACCTCTATTAACAAAGCATCCTTTTCTTCAGTGTTAACAAATAGTCTTACACACCAAGATATATTCAGAGCCCAGATGCAAAAATCACTCTTTTAGTCTATTACTTCAAATAAGTTAAAAAACCTCTACATCCTTCCACAGCTTCCTCAGTCTTTCTCATTAAAACATAAGCCACCTGTCTTCATTTCACAGCCTTTTAACACCCTATTTCAGTTCTACCCATCATGTTTCATTCAAAATAAGAGCAATTCCCGAATCCATTGAATGCAAACTGCAGCCGAGTTTTCAGAAAAACAGTTTTGAATTTTTCTTCATGATGTCCATAGTGCTTGGAAGGTTTATTCCTAAATATAGACAAAAATCACTATATTTGTCTTCCTGTAAGTCCTTCCTTTCTTATGCTGCCTGAAAAATGTAAACCTTAACAGTGGTTGGACTTTTGGGATGTTGAAGTTACTGTCCACTGTGATGACCAACAGTGCCCAATCGTTTTATTGTTTTCCAAGTTAATCTATATGCACCTGTTATCTAACATCTGATGTACCAATTGTAAACTTTTTGAGGAAAGCATTATCTTTACAAGACCTAGGACAAGTGCACCTTGGTCCATTAGTAATTCTTCCAAGTGTAATTGCAGTAATTAATTACAAATGCCACCCTCCATATGAAAACGCCCACTGGAAAGTGAAACAGAATAAACCATCAAAAAACTAACATAACTTTCTAGTATCTAGTTGGGAATTAAACTTCAGCTCACAGATCTGAAATGACTGACATATCCTAAACAGGATATATTTCCCCGTCAGTTCTCTATTGAGGAATTAGTCATTAATTCCTCCTATTAAGATATTTCCTTCTCCCCAAAAGGTGAATATTCAAAAGAAGAAACAGCATCTATTGTCTTCAATGAAGGAGGACAGAATCCTGTTCTAATTTTATCATATTCTGCACTATCCTCCTTTTTTAAAAAAGGAAGAGTGTATGATTATTTGCAAAAATAACCTATTCCATTCACGTTTCGATGAATGACATAAAGAACTGTTTTCAGTAACAACAAAACAAATAAATAAGCTCATACTGTACAGTCCAACAAGGGTGCAGCACAGAAATACCAGCTCACAATAAATCAGGTAAAAAAAATTTGGTGTGTGTGTGTAAAAGCAGGAATTCCTGCAGTAAATACCACACATACCAACCTTTTAAAAGGAATTGGTTTAGATTTCCACAGCATTTTTTTTTTCTTCTCTGAACCTGGAATACAAATGATTACTGTCTAAATAATGATAAATAGAATATTTTGCCAAATTGGTAGGAAATCTCACTTTTCTTGAGAAAGTCATGAGAATTTTCAAATTAAAATTGAAAATTTCCAGACATACATATTTTGTATCTCAACCCCAACAGCAAATTTCACGTCCCTGTTATTGTCAAGTAAAAAAATGTAAAAAAAGAAAAGTGTACCAAGATTAAAGGTTTACCAATTAAGATTTTCTAAGCCATATATAGTATTGATGCCACAAAAACATAAAACATAGAAACTTGCAGGCTGCTTCTCCTGAATAAATTACAAATATTCTGGTCATTCCCAAGGATTTCCATTTAGCTTCCCCTATTCAGGTGGGCAGTCAAATTTGGTGGAAACAAACGCAATTTTTGATTGCGACTATATGATTAATAGCACGCTTGAGAACATTCCTGAATCTTCCCTGGGCTTATACTGACACCAGGAAAACATCTTTCTACACCCAGACATTTTTGTTGTGCATTCCAGAGACAAACTGGGTAATAGCTGTCTTGACCACTGTGAATAAATCTCTTACCTTCGTGTTGGCGCATGCTTTCCCTTTCTTATAGTCCTTATGGCTGCCTCTTTTATCCAATTTGGCCCACAAGGCTTTGGCTTTCCAGTAATTGAGCTTGGACTTGAGTTTGTGATAGAAAGAACGATAGTCCTTGGGCTTTAGTTCCAGATAGTCACAGAGCTCTTGGAAAGCCTTGAGAGTCCCCTTGCAGGTTGAAGCCTGGACAAATCTGTCGAAGAGAACATGAGCCTGGTTCACCTTCTCATTCTTACTTTCCTCCATGCTTCACACTTTGCAGCTGCCCTGGAGGGCAGCTGTTCTCTTCCAGTCTGCCAGATTTCCTGATGTTGCTCTGGTGAGCCACTTTCACCTGTGGCTTACAAGCATTATTAACCTATAAAATAAAAAAAAAGAGAACGTAACTGAGCTTGCTCTTTTTTTTTTCTTCACAAAATTTTGTCTAAGGCTGCTGAACTGAGAGCCCAGATTATCAGTAACTAATAACGCATCAGCCCTAAATAAGTCAACTGATCAATATCCTAAGGATTCCCGCCCAAGCTGATTGAAGCAGAGCCTTCCAAAGCTCACTGAGCCTCACTGCAGACGGTGGGACATCTCTCCTCCGTTCAATCACAAAATACTTTAACCCGAGCCAGTCCCTAGAAAGTTTTATCAAAACTCATTTCACATAAACAGCAAAGAAGTTACAAGTAAACTGGTGATGTTTGGAAGTAAGCCTAGGTTTTAAAACAAAAGATACAGTCTTACTAATGTAGCAGTCACTGCCATAACCAGATCACTGTGGTAACACCACAGCAATGGTTACATGCTGGTCTTAAAAACACTACTACCACAAAGTACGGTACACCAAAGAGTTGATATTCCACCAGTAAAATAAGTTTTGGTTCCTTCATTCTAAAAGGACACGTGTCTTTGCTCATGATAAATAGAGAAGAGGAAAGAAGATGGTATAGCACAAGCTGATACCTCTGTCAGAGTCCTTGCAAACACTGCTTTTGTACAGTGACATAACAAACCCAGTGATGGCTACTGCAATCCTAGAAAGAAGTTAAACCTGCTAATAGCAATCAAATGCCAAGACTGAAAAAAACCCCCACCCATCTGTGTTGCATCAAGTGTATAAACATTTGCCTTACCTAGAGTCTATGCATATATTCCTGTCACTAAGCAAGCAGCATAAGAGTGAAATGTGGCTGATGCATGATCCTCATGAGATTCTCATAGTAGTTCCTCTATTCTGTGGTTTTCAACTCCTTTTGATATGCAGGTCCGTACAAAATTTTAGGTGGTAGTTGGGGTCCTTAGCAGATTAAATATGCTAACAGGAGGTCTGCTACTCTTAATTGCTTTTCTGGGATCCCTCAGAAGCAGCCTGCAGACCTACAGAATTAATTATTTGGATCACAAATAGCAGATTTTGTTTAAAGAGTAGGTATTTTCTCTCCCTCTCTCTCTTCCTTTTATATATAATAAATCTCTTTCTTCTTTTTATACATAATACTAAGTACATACATATAATAGATTACTCTGCTCTCTAAGAAAGAACAGTTCTGTTTGTCTTCAGATAGGAGGGCAGCATGGGAATATATGCGGGAACTACGGAAGTGAAAGCATTTCGGAGGTGTTTTTTGTCCTTTGTGTTTTTTTGCAAAGGGTATTAAGGTAAGAAAGGAAATATGTGGACTCGGATAAAACTTTTTAGATTCTCACCAGCTCTTTTCCTGCTTCCAGCAGACAGGAAGCCAAGTCAAACAGTACAGCTCATGTCTCTTCCCCTCCCATATGACAGCTCTGCAGCAGTTTATTTGGGCACTCCTGCATTTCACCCTAACATGGTATTTATTGCTTATGTTTAGAAATAGCAAAGGAGACCTGGAAACCTTCACATACAGCCACACACTATTATTAAAAATAAAAATAAAATTTCCTACAGAAGCCATAGTACAACAATAGGTTAATACTGGAGAATGTGATTCTGACTTTATTAGGACAAATGCCTCAGAGGACTCAGGACACATGAAGCTGTTTTTCTAACTGGCTAATAGTGATGCCATGTCCATATCAGTACTTGTTACTAAGCAGGATGGAATAACTGCTTTCCTTATTTTTGAATCTTAACTTCACTGCTGTGAAGCTGGAAATGTGCTCCAGGCTTGCACCTCAGGGTAACCACTGCACTACTGCAGAGGTCCAAGACACTGTGCTTTAAGCTTGTGTCTCCTCTTCTGTTCTCAAGAAGAATGTTACAAAGAGCTCCAACAAATCACCTCTTACACTGAAGGAGTAATTTCAGTGTGTTTGTGCAATACAGACACAATAAAATACCTACATTCTAAAGTCATATGCCTCATTAATCAGCACGTCACAAGTCGAATACTATTTTGTGTTACGTTTCCCCCACCTCTTGCACCCCACTCTACCATCCAAACACTCACTTTACACCAGCACTTCAGGTGACTGACACTTCGTAAGAAAAAGCAATAGAAGCTATATGACCTAAGTTAAGTGGAGTGGCTATTTAAGTCTGTTAGTCCGCAGTCCACTACTGATATATCCAGATGTAAGAACAACATAGGTTTTACTTCTTACTCCTTCACCAAAGGAGCAAAGCAGCATTGGATCTGCACTGCTCAGAGAGATCCCAAAGTTAAAAATCCAACCTACTTTCATTACAGGAACTTACAGCTTTGTGTTCAAGGTTTCCCAAGCCAGGAGACAAACTTGCAAAAGCAGGTCATTTTACGCAGCACAGCCTGAGCGGCACATTAATATAGCAGTTCTGCTGACATCCCATTTCATGCAGGCTGTGAAGTCAGTTATGCCCACAGGTCAAATACAGAGGCTTCAGTCAACGCAATAAGTCACTCCCCAGGACTCTGCATTCTTGATGTAAACACCCAAAGCACTTGGAACCCGTGAGCAACACATCAGAGAACATGGAAATTACAGGAGGAAAGCAAGGGCAGGCAAGAATTATTTGCCAGGTTTCCAGGGTATTTGCATGCCTTGTTGGCTATTCTGCAAGTGTGCAGTACCCTGCATGTTTTGTCTCGAGGCAGCTGATTGCTGACTCAGAAACTCTGTAAATTCCTTGGCTGGATTATTGGGAGAGAAAGACAAAGCCCATGAAAAAACGCATGCAAGAACAGTGTTCGTGTTGCTATTTACAATAATAGCATGAGGTTGTCACTGACTCATGACTGCAAGTACGCTCAGGATCTGCAGTGCTTGCCCAGGACAAAAGAAACGAATGAAAGACAGAGACACAGGCAATGAATAATTCCAGGTGGTGGTTCCTTCCCACAGTCACCGGGGATGCAGGAATACGAATGCATATACGAGAAAGAAAAGTCCAGCGCCCTACTTCTGTCAAATGCAAGTGATAGGAAGAGATTTTGCAAATGATACACATAATGAATTTGGTTGTACAAATTCAAGTTCCTGCAGAAAGTGTTGCAAATGCAGGGCTCCTATATTCCAGGCAAATAAACCCCCATTATAGGTGCCACCCCCCCTACATTTTCCATCCTGATTTTGTTGAAGGTGTTCATTCAACTAATGACTTGAGCCTGGAAAAATAAAATATTATTGGAATGTATTTTCCAGCATTGTTATCCATTTTTTTCCAGCAGAAACTATAGAGTTAATTCCATCTAAATTCACAGCTTGTTCTGTCTAGCTTAAAACAGCATTTTGAGTGATTAAAACATTTGCCAAAGTAACTGCCCAGCTCCACTTCAGAATGCCGAGTTTCTCTGAGCACAATGTAAATGCTTTCTTACATTTTGGTTATTTCACAGCCAGGCAAACATGACAGATGTACCCTTAACAGCTAAATCTCTGAGAAGGCAGAGATCAACAAACTGCACTAGTACCGTATGGAATCTGAAAGCAAGTTAGTTCATCAATCATAAAACTACTGATAGCTCCAGTAGCCCCAATTTCCACTGATTTCATCCTTTCCCTAAAACTTCCAGTTCCCCAGCAACGTTCCCTATGCCCTTGTCTCCCTTTCATGGCCCCCCAGCTTCTGCCTAAGCAAGACTCAGTAACATGCTCTGGGAACTCTGAGATTACCACAGTACCTAGGCAGCCAGTACACACTTGCAACTTGGCTAGCAAAAGCCTAAGCACAGATTATTGTTAAGCTTATGCTGCAGACGGTGGGGACACCTATTTTTGTCTCGCTCCTCCACCCAGCCTCCAGTTTTCTTGTAGGAAACCAATTACCTTTGAGACTTTTACTCCCTGTCAAATCTGGATGAAATTGTTCAAAAGTTATTAAGGATGAACTGAAAAGCAGATGGACAAACAGCTCAATCCCGTAAGCCTCCCTTCTTTAGGAAACCACACTAAAAAAAGTCTTTATTCCAACAAATGAAAAAGCTCTGTTTTCATTTCCAGGATTTGATTTATTTTATTTTTACCTAAAGCTAAAGAAAAGGACTTTGCTACAATATGTTCATGACTAACTGATCATGGGTATCAGAAAGTGCAGCTTTAGGGCAGCAGTAAGACTGTGGAACAGATGGCAAAGAGAGGACAATTTTGACAAGAAAAGCTAAAGCCAAAACTGGCAATTATTTTGGCTCCATATTATGCAGACAAAGAATGGGAAAGCAGGAGGACAAAGGCGTGGTTGCCATTGTTTGCAGCTTCCCTTTTATACCAGATGGAAAAAAGAAAGGTCATCACTGTCCACAGTATGTTTTAAGATAGTATTTAGATCTGCTCCCGTTCATAAAATTCAACACTCAAACCAATATGCTGGCAAAAAGATGTTTCTGTTTTAATACACTTATCAAACCTGATTTGCTGGGCTTCTGCCTACCATATGGGAGTGAGTATTTTGGGTCCCCCCCTCTTTCCTGTCTACTCCCCCTCCTAAGCTAGGACAAAAGTGGGAGAAAGAGAGACCAAATATGAACTTGATTGCAAATACAAGAACCCATTCCTAAGGAGAATATCAAAGCACATTTACAAATAGTTAATAGAATTCTCACATCAAGAAAAACTCAATCCAGTAACGATTTGAAAAGAAATGCAAATTCCATCAAAGAACAAGGAAACATACAAATACAGAAGCAGTTACAGATAACATTTTGGTTCCCAAATTCTTATCAAGGTACTGAAGAAAAATGTGTACGTTGTTTATTACTAACCATTTCTTAAGTGCCACAACATGAGTACTGAAAAAATCAGACCTACAGAATAAAACCTTTTATCCATATGAATTCAACAAACATACTATTCTGCTGCTCTGTCATATACAACTCTTTGATCACAGCAGAGTCCCTACACTGAATGAACACGAACATAAAGAGACCAAGAAACAGATCATCTCTCTGCATTGGATGAAAAAAAGGAAACTATACCAAGGAAAAAGTAGTTGCCCCCTTATAAGATGATAAGGGAATAGGAGGCCATCTGCATAGCTGTCATATTGTAAGACAAGCTTCAAGAAGAGCTACTAGCTTCAATGCCTGACACAGCCACATACTAGGGAGATTCCTCATAGTACAAATCTTCACATCGGGCGACTAATAACCAATGCAGTGATCCCTTCTCACCTAGCACCAACTCATCAGCTGTGTGTTTGGGAAGCTGAGGACATTCTTTACATCTTGGAACTGTCACTGTGCTGTAAAGAACCACATGGTAGCCTACAAGCACAGGAAAAGAAAATTTATTTCTCAAAGAAGTAAATGTGCTTTTATCCCAATGGTAAAAAATACTACATCCCACTAGAATCTCATGACAAACTTTTTGGAGCGTGGTCATTAACACAGCAAGTCACATGAGCAACGCTTCTCCTTACAGGCCTCCCAAAACCCGATGATATTTGACAGCAAAGGCTCCATTTATTATCTGGGTGGTGAAATCCATGTATCTCCCACAAAACCTCCTGAGAAAACACAAGTCCTCAAAACACAAATCTGGCTGGTTCAATACAGGGAGCCCTCAGTCTACAAGCATTTCCCATAAAGACCATACACCACACCTGTAGGCAGTCAAATGGTGGGTATTTTCTGATGAGCAACACATACCCCACTTCTAAGGCAAGTGTACAATCACTTCACACTAGGTGAAGGTGACTTCACTAGCAGGCTGCAGCACACAGAGGCTTCTCACTCCACCACTTAACAGGGCAAGAAGGTTGAATGTCATTCCCTCATTTGAAGTGCTTTGAAGCTG